AAAGGTCAACTTACATGAAAGGAAGGAAATAAGCATTTGAAACTGGAGCAGCATCAGAACTCACATGGAAGCAGACTTGGGTGGAAACTCAAAAGGCAAAGGATCAAGAGCAATGAGGGCCTACTGGTGGCAGTACATAGGGCCGTGCCACAAGTCATGGAAATTCTGATAAATTTGACACCAGGACATCAGTTTGAAAGTTCATGGGATTGAAAGTACCGTTTCTGGGAGAGGGAGAGATGTCTCCTGATGCCTTGCTGGTAACGTGAAAGAAGGAAGCACGTGTTCTTCAGAAAGAAAAAAAAATACAGATCAGAAGATCCTCCAACCACACCCACCTCACAAAAAATGCTCTTTTTAAGAAATACTGCCTTTTGCTGCATCAACAGAGCACTCTCAAATCAGAAACCCAGCAAGCCCCACACACACTTTAACCTTCCTATGCAGAGCAACTTTTTGCAAGTCAAGGAAAATAATTTCAAAACAAACAGAAAAAGGATGACATCTATAAATGCTGTTATAAGAAGAAAATAAAATGAGAATTACAACTGATGGAAATTCCTCAGCCATTAGCAGAAGAAAATGATCTGGTCTGAAGTAAGTATGTTTAAACAGGACTTGGCAGAAATACAAATTAATACCTGAAATTAGAGATTCAAAATCTCAGAACAAAAATGGACCAAAAGAAAAACCCTAGGAAGATGAAACAAGTTGATGAACGTCAGCAAAGAAATTGAAAAAGTGATCACAAGATTAAGTTTTAAGGTGTCCAAGGGATAATAAATTCATCGAAAATACAATTAAGGGCATTGGGGGCAAAGTAGTAAAGTGATCAAGAGAACACAACAAAACAGGTACAGAGAAAGAATGGACACACACGTATTTGCATTGTGGTACACTTACAAAGTGAAATACTGTACAGTGATGAGAGCAGAAAATGACAAATACACAACAATATGGATGACTTCCCAACACCGTGTCAGAAGCTAGATTCTCTTGTGAATTCATACAGGTTATTATTTATGTGGTGGTAAGAATACACTGAACAGGAGTGGGTGAGTATAAATGAGTTTCTGGAAACCAGTGTGTGTGTGTATATGCATACATTTATATTTATTGGATTATAGCAAATGTATAAACATTTTTAAAAATCCTGAGGAATCTTTTAAAAGTTACCCTCCCAGTTTCATTGTAAATGCAGATTTTCATGTATTTATTTTGCAAGGAATGGTTATAACCTGGAATGATTTGGGTCCTAAGATTATTCTAGCTCAAAAATACACAAATTTTGATTATCCAGGGAAATGTGGGAGTCTGTGTTCATTGATGTGTTTTTGCAAAAGGGGTGTTGCTTCAGAAGTGCCTACCCATTTCACTTACCACCAAGAATCTAAGAGGTTTATCATTGTTCTTTTTTGAACTCTGATGTGGGAAAAAGGACGTTGTGGCCTAGGATGCTTTCAAACTAATCTAGACTGTATAGTGATAAATGTTAGACATATTCAAAGGAAAAGTTCCGTATCAGAATTAGTAGAAAAACATAGGTCTTGCCTTGTCTTTAAGACTCCCTGTTGGGAATTAGCATGTTTTGTCATATCTGGGTACTGGTGACTGGCTTTTCTCTTATTGTAGAAGACTGGAGTATATGTTAGAGTTCAGAATGAAAAGGTGAAATGAAGACATGTAGAACGATTAAAGTGCCCCAGAGATATCCTTGTTAGTTGAAACAAGCACATTCTTGGCCTGTGTCCCCTCCCCCAGAACTTGATTGTAACCTATCTTTTCCTGTCTATGAATTACAATGAGCAATTATTGTTCTAGTTGTTAGCTAGTATGTCATCCATTGGGATTCTCTTTGCTTTCAGGTTTTTAGAAAAATTTAGTTTACACGAGCGCCTCCTGGTGTTCAACAAGAGAACATTTTGATAGGTTCCACACTAGTAATGAAAAAAAATTTGCCCCTACAGTATACAACATTGGTAAACTATGGTATGGTTCTAGTCACTTAGTATCAAGTATTTTACTTTTCATTTCAGAAGATGTGATAATGAAGTATATAATTATATAATTTAACATTCTAGTGGAATGTTAGAAAAAATAAAGCCAGAGCTAACTTGCATCCTCTCCAGATTTCAACTTCCAAAGCAATTGAATCTGTAGTAATAATTGTCTTATTCGAATTTCACTTCACTTGGGTAGATACAGCTTTTATCAACAATCACAACTTAAGGCTAAGAAGGCAAACATAACCCTTTAAGGGTTAAAGATCCAAAACAAAGAATAGGAAATGGTTGCCCCTTAATTCCCAGGATTAACAAACTACAAAGAGCTCAGCTTTGTTCTCTGAGTAGCACAAAGGGATGAAATACCACTTGTGCCAGAGGTACAGAATCCCAGATTGGTACTAGGTACACCACCATTTTTTTGACATTCTAATTTAAGATTTATTTTTATTTTTTATTTATGCATACAAGAACTGGGGTGTAGGCCAGAGGTGTAGGGAGGTGAGTGGATTCACCTCCTCTCAGACAGAGTAGGGAGCAGAACAGGCAGATCTACTGAGATACACTGCTGAGGGGAGCAAGCAGTCAAGACAGGAGAGGTCTGCTGCACCATGTGGGTCAGCTCCCTGGCCGGGGATTGAATTCATGCCACCGTGGCTGCCGATAGCTTGATAGTGGAGAGACTAAACCCCTGTGCCACCAAGGAGGCCCCCTCTAATTTAAACTCCTATAACCTCTGGAAAAAAAAATACAATCTCAAAACTTTTAAGACATTACCAGTTGGGGGCCTCCCTGGTGGCACAAGGGCTTAAGATGCAGCCTATGAAGCTATCCACAGCCACTGCAGCACAAGTTCAATCCCCAGGGAGCTACCCACATGGCACAGCAGACCTCTCCTGACTCGCCCACTGCTCCCCTCAACAGTGTATTTCAATCTGCCTGTTCTGTTCCCCACTCTGTGTCTGGTGAATCCTCTGACCTCCCTGCACCTCTGGCCTATTTATACCCCAGGTCTTGTATGCATAAATAAATCATTAAAAAAAAAAGACATTATCAGTTGTCATACTTTCCCACCCACTTTAAAATGTCCAGTTAGGAAATGTATAGTCTGCAAAAGCAAAACAAAATTTTCTAAAATTATCTTTGAAAACATTATAACCTTGACTTTTAAAAGTTTTTATATAGAAAGTACTCTCATTCACTCTGGGCCAACACCCCAATATATAGGGCAATAGCACTTAAAGGTTGACCCAGAATGACCAGCAGTTATTGGGATAAACATTTCACTTGAAAGGGGAACATCTAAGCCAACAGAAAACTGTTTTTTTTTTTAATGTAAATGACTCTAGTACAAATTCTCAGAGTTTGTTTCCTCAAAAGATTTTAACATGGATTGAAGGAAAGGTTTTAATTCCAAATTTAAAATTAACTTCAATTTTCTTGCCTAATATTTCCATCATCCCTTAAGCCTGACCAACATCTGACTTTACCTTTTCATCCAACTACCTTTTCATCCAACTGCACATCTTATTTTTCTTAGCATTTACAGAACTATATAATCTTGGCAAGAACAACTTCACAACTCCCTATGTGCTCATGCTTCACTCGCCCTCCACCAGAGCTCCAGTGCCAGCTCCCTATCACATTTCCCTCCCAATGCTTTCCACCCTCATCCCTTTTCTTGATTTTGCTGCCTACATATTTCCCACAGCCATCCTTTTCTCTTTCGTCCTGCCACTGTCCTTCACATCTATGCTGCCTGCTGAGAAGCCATCAAGACATTTCTGGAGGGCCTCCCAGGTGGCGCAGCGGTTGAGCGCTGGGTTGTGAAGCTGCCTGCGGCCTCTGCAGCGCCGGTTCGATCCCCAGCTGCTCCCTGGCCACCGGAGGAGGGTCCCACATGGCGCGCAGACATCTCCTGCCGCCCACTACTCCCCTCAGCAGTGTACTTCGGTCCTTCTGCCTGCTCTGCTCCCCACTCTGGCTCTGGTGAATTCTCTCACCCTCCCGCACTTCTGTACCCAGTGCATGTATAAACAAACAAACAAACAAATAAATAAATAAATAAATAAAATACGTGCCTCTTTATAAAAAAAAAAAAAAAAAAAAGACATTTCTCGAATGTTCTTCTACAAACCTTTTCAATCCCCATTCACCGGCCCAAACTCCACCTGAATCAACAGATATTATTAGGGACTCCATAAAGTGAAGGACGTGATTCTGTCCTGTGCACTTTTTTTTTTTAAAGATTTACTTATTTATGCATACAAGAGCTGAGGTACAGGCCAGAGATGCGGCGGGTGAGAGGATTCACCAGAGTGGGGAACAGAACAGGCAGACTGACTGAAATACACTGCCGAGGGAGCAGCGGGAGAGACAAGAGAGGTCTTGCTGCACCATGTGTGTTGCTCCCTGGCCGGCCGGGGATTGAAATCATGCTGCAGAGGCTGTGGATTGCTTCATAGTGTGGTGCTTAACCCCTTGAGCCACCCGGGAGGCCCTGTCCTGTGCAGTCTATCTACCACTTTACCCATCACATTTTATTTTGTAATGTTCATTTGGAATAGCTTAAGAGTTCTCCCAGTAGCATGTGGTGATCTATTTACATGCCTTTTCTCGAGTTCTCTTTTGCAAGACCTTTTCCACCCTTCTTTACCAGACTAACTTAACTTACCCTAGTAAACTCAAAACTCCTCTCCAAAAAACATCTCCTGAAGCCCTCAGCTATAGTGATCAATCCTGAAATTCCCACAGCACCTAGCAGAACCCATCATAGCACTTACCATACTGAAATTAACCTGCTTTGGTCTCACTCCCCAAATAGGCTGGAAAGCTGCCTGAAGATACAAACTGTCTTAATTACCTCATGGCCCCAGAACCTTGTGCAATTTTGACTCAAAAAGTGAACACAATTTGCTCCAATCACTTAGAGAAAATGATCCTCTGAAAATGTAGTTGCATATATTCAACAATACACATTTAAAACATTTTAAAATATTTATTAAATACTATCTTTTAAAACTTATAAGAAATATCAAATTTGTAAACATTCAATCAGCAGGTTAAAATCAGAAGGACTGATAAAACTGTTAAGACAGTTGAACAATTGTTAACTCTCATACATTGCTGGTAGGCGTGCAAACTGGCAGTATTTATAAACTAAAGCTAAACAAACATAAATATATCCTGTGGACCCATCAATTCCAATCCTGAGCATACGCCCAATAGAAATGAAAAAGAATCTTCTTAGCTGCATTATTCTTAATAAACAGTACCAAATAGGAAATAAATGTTCATTAATATTAGAATTACTAAATTCTGGTATATTCATACAAATAATACAGAACAATTAAAAAGAAACTTCTACACACAGAACAAAGATACTACTTTATGAAGTTCAAAAACAAGTCATCTGTGGTAAGTAAAAATAATTTGTTCCTGAGGATTGTGGGCATTAACTGGGGAGAAGTATGAGGAAAGGTGTGCACTAACCTAAGTATTCTCCAATTTGGTGGTCACACACAGGTGAACACTAAGGCAAGGTTTATCCTATTGAGCTCCTAAAATCCATGCACCTTATTTATAAGTAAGTCATGCTACACAAAGTGAAAAAACAAACCATGTGCATTACATTACGATTTGGGAAATACGCCAGCATACTGGAGGTACAGCCATGAGACTAAGTCAACTGATAAAAGTAGTTTTGTTTCTTTGCTATAATATAGAAAATAAGATTTTTAAAACTTTGTTTTAATGCACAAGTGGTATTCCTTTTATGACAGTGGTTACAACTCTGGCTTAAGGTTCCCAATACTGTTTTCTGTTGTTACAGAAGCTAGACAACTTTGTTGTTATATAGATCAGTTGAGTTGCACCAAGTTTTAACCATCCATTTTGCTAACTTCTGAGAGAACAGTTTAACTTTAGCCTACAGAATCACAGTGGCTATTTGTTACTAGTAAAATTCTGCAAATTTAGTGTCATACTATATTCCTTATCAACTTTAATCTGAAATCTGCTGCCACCCTTTAGTGAAATGCAGAAATATAAATATTTTAACATAGAAAATATATGTCCTGTTAAGATTTAAAAAAAAAAAAAAAACCCTGAAATCCTACCCTAAAACAACTAATGTATTTTGTATTCCAGATTGTGGTTTTGGTCAATATTTCTGAGAATATGAATGTTAACATCAGTTCTGAGAATGAATTATTATCAATAAAGATATCAATTTAATCAATATAATCAATTTAACTAGCTGACAGGATTCCTCATTGGATATTTTCAGGAAAATATAAAGTATACAAAAAAAAAAAAAAAGATTAACAAACCGAAACACCTTTCAGTTAAAGAATAAGTCTTTAAAAATTATACATGGATATGCAGAACCATCTCTGGGCAACAGTACATGTAAGACAAGAGTGAATACAGTACCTTTGGACATAAAAATTTTAATTATAATTTCACATGTAATATATAAAGACAATACTTTATATTGGCTGCATGAACTACACTATAACCTAAAAATCTTGCTATTAACCAGAATTTCCTGAGTGGCTGACACATTACACTAGTGAGGTAAGACTCATTTGTTTTTCAAGAATTTTTCAGCTTTTGACTTTGATGCTATCACCTGCAAGGCACCAGTCCAAGTGCTCATTAATTTGAGACTCCACAACTTCATTCTGACAAACAGGACAAGCAACCATTCTGCTCTGACTGGATGAGCTGCTAGAATTCTGAGCTGTGGCTACAGGATGCGAACTACACTTTGGGTCATTGCCACCACTTTGTATTTGCTCTTTCTTGATAAAAAAATTGTCAAACACACTCTTGTTGTCTAGCCTGGGTCGTTTACTTGGGAATCTCTCTTCAGGCCCATTCACATCGTGGGATGCAGTCACAGATGTTGATTCCACTGCTTTTAAAGAATTTCGCAGGGCTATCTTAGAAGATGTAACCCTTCTTTGAGAACTCGCAGAGATGGTGTTCGTGATGTCAGCAACTGTTACGTTGTTTGTAGGTGATCCATTCGCATTTCGGAAAGCCTTTTGATTGGCAACTGATACTCTAGGAAAGTAGCTGCTTAACACATTTTGGTGATTGTTATTAAGAATAGGGGAGACTAGATGAGAAGTTTTTTTACCTGAACCACTCTGTTCAAATTTCCCCTCAATTTTAGAATTAAGTCTTATGGCATTTGCTGAGTGATCTTGACTTAAAAGATCTGGGGTTTTATTAATGGCATGTGAAGTGGTAAATTTCCCAGATGACAAGGAATTGCTTGTTTCTCCTAAAACATATCCTTTTCCACTAAAAGGGATTAATGGCTGCGTGTCACCTCTTTTGGACTTATCTGCAAAAGAAGCAAATGAAACGTTTCCTCAACTCAAAATTAATACAACAATAAATGTTAGGATAATGAATTTTTTTCAACAATACTAGTTCATCTAACTTAGATGCATATAATAATTACCTAGTAATGGGAGGATGGTCTTCAGAAGTTAGAGTTCTGGTATTAAAAGGGCATAAAGGGCAAAACAAATCCTCTCATATTGAGATAAGGAGTCCTAGCATGCAAAGACCAACAGCAAAGTAACTTTTAGTTGAACATTTCTTAGTATCCCTGAAGTTTAGTCCCAGGCAGGAAAAAGCTACTATCATATTCTTATCCTACTCACAAAAACTGAGGAGATATAATCTCATATAAATTCTTTCATTGCTCAACTTACTTAACATTTCAGATCTGGAAAACTAGCTTATGTTCCTGGGTCTTATCACATCAGCTCAATAATTGCTCTAGGGAAGAAACAGTAATTTAGTAACTTGGTTACTACTCTTCCAAAGGTGGTAACTCAAAATTTCATAGGAAAGGGACAAACCTTAAAGATGGAAGTAAGTAGCATATGCATGTCATATCCTTTCCCATTCTTCTCCCAATGAAATACATACATCAATAGGAGAAGTCACTTGGACAGAATCCAACTGATAGGAAGGGGTGTAGTTAGAACTTAAATTCCGGGCATTGTCTCTCCAATTACAGTTTATTTTGGCAATCTTTTTGCCTTCTGTTTCCTAATGACTTGAGAGTCAAGACAGAGAAAGGGACTAATCCTCAAATACTATTAGTGGAAATTATTTCTACTTTTATTCATGTCTATATAGAGCAAAATGTATTTTTTCCATCATCATTTCATAAATAATGGATTTTTTTTCTTACGTCCTCACTTGAAAATTTTACTAGAAGCAATCCTCAAGTCTGTATTAACAGTTTGCTAACAGACAGTGCTGTCTTCACATCGCAGCTGTAGTCATGACCTTGTTAAAAAAATATACAGTTACCTTTAGTCTCTGGTGCGGATACTGGGTCATTCCCTAGTTTTGTTTTTCCTTTGCCTTTTTTCGAGTAGTTCTCTGGTTCTTTGATTTTTATGTAAGTGCCCCCACAGGTTTTCTGGTGCTCAGCCCACCAATAGTCGTTAGCAGAGGGTGCCCTGTTGGTAGCACGTTTGACATAACCATAGTAGGGCTTTTTGTACTGACAGGGCCCATTGCAGCGCCACCAGTGTCGCCGGTACTCATCCACCTCATCGTGGAAAGTATGGTACACCTGGGTTGAGAGAAAAGATTTTAGCATTAAGGTAAATTAACAATTTTAAGAAAACAGATCTGCAAAATTTCCCAGAGCTTTCTGAAGTTTTATTTTGTGAGAAACAGCAACTATGTTTGGTTGCTGCTTTAAAGTTCATTTTAGGGCCTCCCTGGTGGCATAAGGGGTTAAGACGCAACCTATGAAGCTGTCCTGTGGAGCTGTCCGCAACTGCTGCAACACCAGTTCAATCCCTGGCCAGGGAGCAACCTACAGACCTCTCCTGACTCACCCACTGCTCCCCTCAGCAGTGTATTTCAGTAGGATCTGCCTGTTTTGCTCCCCACTCTGTCTCTGGTGAATCCTCTCACTCCCCACACTTCTAGCCTTTACCCAAGTTCTTGTATACATAAAAAAAATCTTTAAAAAAGATAAAAGTTCATTTTAATGCAAAACATCAGCAGTCAATTTAATACTTTATAAACCGTATAAGGACAGAAAAATGTTATTAGAAGATAAAATTTTAAAAGCCACACAAAAAGTGTCTACAAATGCTAAAAGTTTCAGAAACTAAATTTTAAAATGATGAAAAATTTGGATGAGGGCAAGATTTTTATATAATACCATAATGACATAGAATCATTCCCACTGCTCAACTGAAAATTTCTCCTATAAGTAACAGTAGAAAAGGGTTCTTGAAGGACAATTTTCTGTATATCCTAGACTCTACCACCACCAGCATCTTGTCTGATACCAACTCGGCCAAACCTGCTCTCCCATCCTCACAGCTCTGTTCTCAAGTGTTTTTGTAATAAGCCTTATGGACGTCATTTTATCTGTTTTGAGATTAAAATTTCTTCAGGATTCAAATGTTTTCATTTGTATATCCCTAGTGGTTAATACAGGCGTGGTACAGTGAAGATTCTCTCAGAATTTGCTGAGTAAATAAGAAGTTTCATTCATTGAGTCACATAAAATTTTCTGTAAATGTGATTTTCAATCCTTAAATTATATCCTTTTCTTTTAACCTCTAGATTGTAATCTTACTCGGGACCTAAGCAGAAGACTTAAAAAGAAGAGCTCTGACTGAAAAGGTTAACTCCTACCTCAGTGCCACTGAGGATGGCAGGGTACCACTTAAAAATACTCCTACAGGACTGAATACTTTTTTCTCCTGCCTTCTCAGTGAAACATTACTATTTATTTCAGATAAGGAACACCTGTATATGAGACTGTTTTGGGGTTTTTGTAAAGATTTATTTATGCATACAAAAACTGGGGTACAGGCCAGATATGCAGAGAGTGAGAGGATTCACCAGAGATAGAGTGGGGAGAACAGGCAGATGGACTGAAATACACTGCTGAGGGGAGAAGCGGGGCGTGACAGAAGAGGTCTGCTGCGCCATATGGCCCTATATGAGACCTTTTTAACCAATGACATTTTACTTTCTAATTCCTCTTGTGGAGAAGAACATTCAGCTTTCCTAACTCTACAGATAGTTTCAGGCACACTATCTCTCCATCATAAGCAGAGTTTCCATTATTTGGCAAGCATGCAGACCAATATACATTATATTATGTGCATTTGAGACTAGAGGACAAAGATTTTGAAGTGAACAGGTATGTCATATCAAACCATATCACTCAGGGTAAGAGAGGTTCCCTTAATAATTCACTGACAAAAAAGACAGGGAATTAACTGTTTTCTTTTCAACTCCTGTAATCCCTACAGCCTGGGAATGTGACTGTTAACAATATAGTCAGTAAAATAAAATTGTTCCACAGTGTGGAACTGGATACTCTAAGGAGTTTACTGTAATAGGATGTAACCTGTAAAAGGTGTATCTACTCAGTAAAACCTCTCTGCTAAGTAAAATACACAGCCACCCAGAATAAAAGAATATATCCTTTCCCAACAGAAAAATACAAAATAGACCAGGCTTTGTTTAAAGTGTAAATTCTTTTTTTTTTTTTAATTTATTTTTGCATACAAGAGCTGGGGTGTAGGCCAGAGGTGCAGAGTGGTGAGAGGATTCACCAGAGACAGAGTGGGAAGCAGAACAGGGGGATCTACCGAAATACACTGCTGAGGGGAGCTGCTGAGGGTGAGACAGGAGAGATTTGCTGTGCCATGTGGGTTAGCTCCCTGGCTTGTGCCACAGTGGCTGCGATAGCTTCATAGTGCTGGGACTAAACCGGTTGCACCACCAGGCAAGCCCCCTAAAGCATAAATTCTAATCAAGGCACTAAAAGCCTTTCATACTAGCAACTCTATGATGATTCTGCTAACCTGGATTTTATGTGATTGTTTTTAATCCAAGTCACTTTCACTTTCCTGATGTTGAGGTAACTATTCAATAATTGAAAAATAGAAACTAATAGCTAAAAGAGATTAGAGGGTGAGCACTTTTCATTTTCCATCACATTGACCTTCACTGTCTTTAGGAAGGAAATATCCAAACATCAAAGAATTTAACCTGTACAGATATCAATATCTTGTATGGTTCAATTAGATTTGATGTTTATTAAGTCCTTAGAGGGCCTCTACATTGTATATCTGAAACATATGTAGACAGTGGTAAGAGGCACCTTGTGTTTAGAGGTGTGAAAATAAAATATTATAAAAGGTTAAGTTATCCACTGAGGAGATTCAAAGAAGGAGAATGTTATATCCCATTGGAAAGGCAAAGAGCATTTTGACAGAGAACAGAGGAAGTGGCACTTTTTAGGGACAGGATATAAAAACAAAGGCCTGGAGATGAAAAGTTAGAAACACGAGCAAGGTTGCTGTGAGAGGTAAGAAAAAAGGAACAGTAAAGTTACTCAATAAAACAAATAATAATAAAAATAATACTTAGTGTTCAAACTCCTAAAATATGCTGCATGTACTTTGCCTTTAATCCTCACAAGGATCCAATCGATAAATAGTCATTATCGTCATTTTCCACGTGAGTAAACTGAGGTGTAGAAGAGTTAAGAAGGTTCCATGGTTCATAATCAGTGGAGCCAACAGCATCTGAACCCCAGCAGTCCGACTCCTCATGCTTTTCTGACCCCAGACTCTACCACCTCCTATAACATTACACAGAAATGTGAATCAAAAAAGACTTGATGAAGGAAATGACATATAAAATGGTAGTAGAATGGTAGCAGGTATAGAATGAGGAGATTAGAATAAGTAAACAAAAAGGTAATTCTAATAGTCTAGAAGAGAGGTTTTGCAGCCCAAAGCAACTCGGCATGAAATGTTACCCTAGCAGTAGTGGTCAGAGCCTCAGGGATTTCCATGGCTCTGCTGCCATTTACCATGCAGTCTTGGACAGGTAAATCAGCTTCAGGAATCTAACTTACTATAGGAATTCTCAAAGATAATATTTGTTTATAAAAAGTTCTCTATTTTCACTTAAATCCCCAAAATTACTGAATATATGCCTACCAAGTAGCATATATGTATGTGGCTTTACGTACTGTTATATTGGCTCCCGTCAGGCGATTGATGCGATGCATATGTTTACAAAACTCAGGACCATGTCCTTCCCGGTCTTTATCATTATTAGTCACAAATAAATAGGCATGTATCATTTCATGCAAGAGGGTCTGAAACAGAAAGCAAATTAATTTGTTATGGCGCTTTTGAAACTAATACGTATTTTCTTATGCTACCTGGGGTCTCAACTTTCTTTGGATCACAGGCTTCTTTCAGAAATTGATACAATTAAAAAAAAAAAAAAAACTTTCTGGAAAAATTACCTAAGCGTAATTCACAAAACTTTGCAAGTAATATCTGAAGCGCTGCAGATCCCAAGGTAAGATCTCCCTGTTTTAGGAAAGATTTTTTAACTATTAATCATAATCCAGAAGAACAAAGATCAGTGAATTCAACTACAAAACACTTAAAAATTCTGTATGGAGAAAAACCACCAGAAATAAAGTAAAAAGACAAACTCAGAAAAATTTATATGCAATTTTTATCACAAGTTATTACTTTCCAGTATCAAAAGAGTTCCTACAGTCAAGAGAGAAATGACCGAAAACCCAGTTTTCAAATGGGCAAAGGTCATGATGAACTGAGAAAGAAATACAAATGATCCAAAAAATATGAAAAATTGTTCAAATTCATTTATAAAAACAAATACAAATTTAAACTATACCAGTTACCACTTCTAATAAAGAATAACAATCTTTATAAATCTTATAAAGCTTAATAAAACTTCTAAACACCTTAGTAAAATTTAAGGGAAAATAATCATTCCCAAATGTTAATGGTCAGAGTACAAAGTGGCACAACTCCTGTGAAGGAGAATTTTAACATCTAACAGCATTACAAACACATTTATCCTTTGACCCAGCAATATCTATACAATTATTTTATTGTGGTGTTCTCTACAACGGCAAAAGACTGGGAACGGTTTGGCAACTTCCAAAATGTATGAATGAATATACAATTAACATAGATCCTCATAATGGAATTCTTTGAAACCAAAAAAAAAAAAAAAAAGGAAAAAAGAACAAAGAAGATCTTTGTGAAAAGACTTGGAGAAAACTACATAGTGTATTGTTTTAATGAAAAAGGCAAAGGTCAGAGAGTACACACTATTCTATGTCAGAAGTTACGTTATATGGGGAGAGGGGTCATAAGAACAGATAGGACAATTTGCAAAACAGAACAATTAGAGAAAAAAGAAACTAGTAAATATCCTATAGTAGATATGGAGTTCAGGATAACAGAGAAATGGGATGGAACAAGATTTCTCCCAGCACGCTTTCTAAAGTTTGGAGATATTGAATCACATGGCATTTTAGAACTAATAAGAAAAGTTTCTGCTCATTCCACACCAAAGATACAGACATTTAGGTGCAAAATTAACAAAGGCTTTAAGCCTGCTGCTTCATAATTTGTTCTAAAAAATACGAATACATTTTTAAAAAACCAAAAATCCTAGAGGTCTTCCCAATCATACCTTTTTCATATGCCTTCAAAAATTAAAAAAAAAAAAATTTATCAGAAGAAAGATAATTAATTAATCTTACTTTGATCAAATTATGCGGAACAGAAAATGGGAGTCTCAAACATTTTAACTTGTTTTATGAAAACATCCCTTGTAAATACCATTTACAATTCAAAAGTTCCTCAACTATTTTTATAAAGGGAAAAACAAATTTATTCTTGATTTTGGCTCCATTTAAATGCATACTGAAAATGGTACATGACATCATACCAGATATTCCTATTTTTATTTTATCTACTATCTTCCAGTTAGGCTAGACTCAAGTGCTAGACAACATGCTCCCAAAACACCTTTTTTCCCCACACTGTTCTATACCTGACCCAAAGCAACTAGTTCTAGTCCTAAGTAAATAAGCTGTTCTGGATGCACGTTTTTTGGACAGCATTCACATTCCTTCTGATGAAAGTAGTCTCCCTTACTATCCCAACTTGTCAGACAGAATCCAATCTGTCCTGTAAGGTTCACCTGTTTTCATCAACAGTAGTTAATAGTTACAAGCCAGTAGTGATGAGGCCATGTAGTACAGCGGGACAGGCGAAATCGTTACAATGTTCTGGTATTTATCATACATGATGCCTTGGACCAGTCACTACTTGCTCCTTATTCCTAAAATGTATCCTAATCGTGGAGGATTGTGGTAAAGGCATATACTAGATTAACTAGACTAACACTAGTTAGTCTAGTTAATACAGTCCTAACTCTGGCACACAAATGGTGCTCAATAAAGAGTGATAGGAATGGTGATATTCGTAGTACTAAAATCCACATATATGGGCTTTTCTTGACTTCCTCTGCCAGATAACCTTTTCCAAACCCCATTGGTAGCTAGGTAGTTAATTTCAATATAGTCTTACTGCTTCCGCTTCTCCTTCTTATCTCTGAACTTGGTAACGTTTTGCCTACAAGTAATGCTCACTTGATATCATTAATGTGCATTCCCCAGACTGTTCTAATTAGGGCTTGTGGTAAGAATGATTGTTAATTTTTCAATTTTTATTTGTTTTATGTGTCCTATCTTTTCCTGCTTATTCATTGAGTTACCAAGAGAACTGTTAACATCTGAAACTATGACTGAATTTTCCTTTTGCTTCTACTAATTGATGCTTCATATAGTTTAAATTTGTTACTACTTTTAATACATTTTGCTTTATCATTACAAAATGTCCCCATTTTTTCCTCTTAAAATCTTCATTTTAGTCTGGTACTAATAGAGACACACATTTCTATTATTGTGTTTGGATGATAAACTTTTTTCCATGCTTTGAAATGTAGCATGTGTCTTTTTTAAAGCATGTCTTTTAATCTAATCTGTTTCTCCATGTCTTTAAATGGACTCCATGTCAGTCCACTTACATTTAATATAATTGCGTAATTTTTTATGCCTACTTCCTCTTTATTGTATCTGGGATTTCTTCCATTATTCCTCCTTCCTTTTTATTTATCAAGTATTTTGGTACCGTTCTATATTTTGTAGCTATATGCCCATGTTTCAAATAATATAACTGGGACAAGAAAAGTGACATTGTATATCTTTGTGTCTTAGGGAACTTCAGGCATCTGCCACAGCACGTAGGAATTCCTATATGCCCCAGTTTTCTACCAGGAGTGACCACCAGATCTAAATATGAAGTGTACCTCACACTGGTTCATTCTGCCAGCTCAGTTTTATGTCCTGGGAGGAAAGCTGTATGATGGCTCCACAGGAGAGAAACAAAAAATTTATGTTTCAATAGAAAAATGTGGATCCTAAATTCTTCTCTGCTTCTAAAGAAGTACCTTAAGCCATTTACTTAATCTCTCTGAACCTTAATTTCCTCATTTAGTAGAAAATGAAATTAACAGTGGTTGTCCTAAAAATCAAGTTACACAATATACCTGAAAGCCAAACTGTGAAGTGTTATATAAAAATATAAGATAGTCATTGTTTTTTGACACACAATTAAAATTTGCACTGAAGGAAAACAAATTTTTTTTTAAGAGGTACAGGTTATCCACAGCAGTCTAAATCAGTTACAATCATGTCTAAATAAGTAAGTTAAGAATTAATTTATGTGAAGAATACCTCTACAAGATCCTTTCGTGGTCTCAACTTTAAAAGGGGTTCACTGAGACGGATAGAACACATTCCACCCCTCCCTTCATAGCTGCATACCCCAGCACACCTGGAAAACAATCACCACAAAAACATATTATTTACTAAATATACATAAAATGGCAATAGAGAGGAAAAAGCAAATCCTTAAATATTCTTGGGCTGCTCACATTCAGAGAACTTCATGGCAGATGGCGCTCCTGCAAGTATACCCTCTTGGTTAGGAGATACTTGCCTCTCACCCCAGTTAGGGAGAGGGTGTACAGTAGTGGCTTCCCTCACCCTAGCCGGGCTGCAAGAGTTCAAAGAGCATCCTATAATCTGCTGCTCCCTGTCTCCTCCCTACAAGCTATTATCAGTTTGTGTTGGTAACAGGCAGAGCAACAACAGCACATCTCCAAAATTATAATAGAATCCTACATGAATGAGATTTGTACTTTAAACACCATTTTATGTCATCTCTTAATCTTTCTTTAGGTTATTTTCTATCAATTCAAAACAACCATAGTAGTATAAAACTTCCATTTCATACTTGCTAACTCCCTTCAAGTATAGGAACAGATTACTTCAAAATCAGCGTTTCTCAAATAGCATGTAAAAAAGGGGATTCGTTGAGAGACATCACTGAAATCACTGACGATCCCTTGAGTCCAGAAATATGGAAACGTCAACCCCTTCCCCATTCTAACACAGGAACACACTACCGAGTGGAAGTATCCTAACAAGCATAGGAAAAAGCAACACCCATCTTTCCAGGTTGCACAGTACCCTCAGATCTTTCTTACGCCAGAATCTGCTTTCTTCTCTCTCCTGGGCCCTGAATCACTACCATAAGACAAACCAGCAGTGGGATGATTTACTTTCAAGTGCGAGAAGGGCCCCCAAAAGTCCTTATCTGTCCCTTATCAGTCAAATCGTAATCCGGGTGCGTCTCACAGCTTTCTTAAAGTTGCCAGTGCGGAAGATGAGGGGGAAGATAAACCGACAGGAGACACCGCAGCCGCTTTCAACGCCCCGAGGGCCACGGGGGGAGGGAGGGAGGGCGGAGAAAGGAGGAGAGAAGCCCCGAGCGAGGGGCTGCAGGCGAGATCCCAGCCAGCCTCTCTTCCCGGGCGGGGATCGGGACTCACAGGGTCATTCGCGCGCTCCACTTCACCTCGACGGCCTCCAGCTGGCCCCAGAAGAACTGGTCGTTGAACTGCATAAACAGGGCCTGCAAATCCGGGGTGGGGTCCACCAACTCCCAGGACGCGTCCACCAGCGACAGGGGCTCCTGGGCCAGAGCACGCTCAGACATCTGCATGTCCCACTCCTCCTGAAGCCGCAGCGCAAAAACCAGATCGTCATCCATCGCTGCCAGGAGCCCAGACGGGATCCGCCCGGCCCAGCTCGATCGTCGGTGAAGCCGCGCACCACGTCCGGGAGGCTTTCAGGGCTGGGTCGAACTCCTCGGAGAAACCGGCTCTCGGGCTGCTCTCGCGCCTGCGCGCCGATCTCGCGAGAAGTCAATGGAGACCGACTCGAGACCGAGAACACCGCTGGGCCCAAAAGCCGACGGTAAAACTCTGGGCCTTGAGAAAAGAAATCAACACGACACCTCCAAATGGGCTCAAAATTGAGCTTCTAAAGCTTCGGCTGAAGGTTTCAAGAAGCCATTACTGTCTTGACTCTTCGCCAGGCACTCAGAGTTAGCGTCACACCCCACGCAATCGCAATATCGCCATCTGGCTGCCCCGCCCTCCACTCGCTTCCGCTACCGCGCCTCCTGCGCGTGCGTACTAGAACCCAGGCGTTCTTGCGCAGGCGCAGTCCCTGCGCCACGGCTCCTTGCGCAGGCGCGGTGGGTGACGCTCAGACCCGGGCGCAGGCGTCCTCCTCTCCCTTCCATCATGCTTCCTCAACTCTCAATCACCACAAAAACATATTATTTACCAAATATACATAAAATGGCAATAGAGAGGAAAGAGCAAATCCTTAAATATTCTTGGGCTGCTCACATTCAGAGAACTTCATGGCAGATGGCGCTCCTGCAAGTATACCCTCTTAGTTAGGAGATACTTGCCTCTCACCCCAGTTAGGGAGAGGGTGTACAGTAGTGGCTTCCCTCACCCTAGCCGGGCTGCAAGAGTTCAAAGAGCATCCTATAATCTGCTGCTCCCTGTCTCCTCCCTACAAGCTATTATCAGTTTGTGTTGGTAACAGGCAGAGCAACAACAGCACATCTCCAAAATTATAATAGAATCCTACATGAATGAGATTTGTACTTTAAACACCATTTTATGTCATCTCTTAATCTGTCTTACTTTAGGTTATTTTCTATCAATTCAAAACAACCATAATAGTATAAAACTTCCATTTCACACTTGTTAACTCCCTTCAAGTATAGGAACAGATTACTTCAAAATCAGCGTTTCTCAAATAGCCTGTAAAAAAGGGGATTCGTTGAGAGACATCACTGAAATCACTGACGATCCCTTGAGTCCAGAAATATGGAAACGTCAACCCCTTCCCCATTCTAACACAGGAACCCACTACCGAGTGGAAGTATCCTAACAAGCATAGGAAAAAGCAACACTCATCTTTCCAGGTTGCACAGTACCCTCAGATCTTTCTTATGGCAGAATCTGCTTTCTTCTCTCTCCTGGGCCCTGAATCACTACCATAAGACAAACCAGCAGTGTGATTGTTATAGAGCAGCCCCGATTTTGAACGGGTTTCTGGCTGTGGGTCCTCACCCGCGCGCTTAAAAGGGACTTATTAATACTCCATTACAGGCACACACAAAACGTTAATAAAAGGTTTATTTACAAGAGAAAAGGAAATAAGGAAAAATGTACAACTCAGGGAGAAAATAGGGAAATAAAGCCTTTAATGCGTCCTACCCGATCCGCCGACCTGGAAACCCAAAGTCACTATCAGAGCTGGCTGGACGCTGCTAGCTGGCGGAGAGCCAAAATGGGGACCACCCCCCCCCCCCCGCAAAGCCCACGTGTGTGCCTTTATATCAACCTGGCTGCTTAACCCCACCCTCAGGTCCCAGCCACCTTCCCTTTGGTGGTGATGGGATTTGGAGTTCCCAGTGTCTTTGGCTTTGGCCTGGGGTGGGGGTGGAGTCCACAAAGCCTGTATGGAATCAGCTTTAGGACATCCTTTTCCCCCTAACAATTCCCCCCTTTCACTTTATGCCATTTCCATGGTGATGAAGATCGAATATATGGATGTCGGATGCAGTCTCATATGAACCTTTTTTTACCAAGTTCCAGTGTGAAAGAAAACCAGTCCCTCCAGGTATTTGTCCATTGCGAAAACAAAAGTCCTCTATTCCTGGAAAAACAGTTCATCAGTTCAAGCCAAAAAAAAACATCTGGAGGCATGAGCCAAAACAAGACGGCAGATGTGTCAAAATCACAGGAAAAAAAATCTTAAAATGGTTCAACTGATGTAAAACACAAATTTTCTCAACCTTGATCCCAAACTTTTAACAGCATAGCAAAAGTTTGCAAACTAAATGTACTTTTAAACCATTTTTCCTATTTTTGCATAAAATCACAGGGCAGAAAATAACTAACAGCAATTTTTTTTAGCTGGCTTTGTCGAAATACTCCATATAGGATCAGACCGAACCGGTGGCATCCGGTAAATGTAGGCTTCAGGTACAAAGTTGGTCTCATCAGACTCCACCTGGGCTTTCCTCTTCTCGAGGGTACCAGGGCTTTTTCGTTGGCCGGGTTGTCCAGTCCTGCCAATGGAGGCAAGCTTCCTCACCTTCTTTGGAGGTCTCTGGAACCCTACAAAATATGCAAACAGGTTTTCCTCGTCTTGGTTCAGCTCTTTTTCAACTTTCTGGAAGAACTCCACACAAAGCCACACAATCAAACTCACGTCCAATTTTTTGTTTAAGCAGACAAACTCCCTATGGAAGTTATGCAAAAACAGACTCTGAGATAAGTAGCAAAAATTACTACCACTATTTAATCTGTCTTACTTTAGGTTATTTTCTATCAATTCAAAACAACCGTAATAGTATAAAACTTCCATTTCATACTTGCTAACTCCCTTCAAGTATAGGAACAGATTACTTCAAAATCAGCGTTTCTCAAATAGCATGTAAAAAAGGGGATTCGTTGAGAGACATCACTGAAATCACTGACGATCCCTTGAGTCCAGAAATACAGAAACGTCAACCCCTTCCCCATTCTAACACAGGAACCCACTACCGAGTGGAAGTATCCTAACAAGCATAGGAAAAAGCAACACCCATCTTTCCAGGTTGCACAGTACCCTCAGATCTTTCTTACGCCAGAATCTGCTTTCTTCTCTCTCCTGGGCCCTGAATCACTACCATAAGACAAACCAGCAGTGGGATGATTTACTTTCAAGTGCGAGAAGGGCCCCCAAAAGTCCTTATCTGTCCCTTATCAGTCAAATCGTAATCCGGGTGCGTCTCACAGCTTTCTTAAAGTTGCCAGTGCGGAAGATGAGGGGGAAGATAAACCGACAGGAGACACCGCGGCCGCTTTCAGCGCCCCGAGGGCCACGGGGGGAGGGAGGGAGGGCGGAGAAAGGAGGAGAGAAGCCCCGAGCGAGGGGCTGCAGGCGAGATCCCAGCCAGCCTCTCTTCCCGGGCGGGGATCGGGACTCACAGGGTCATTCGCGCGCTCCACTTCACCTCGACGGCCTCCAGCTGGCCCAGAAGAACTGGTCGTTGAACTGCATAAACAGGGCCTGCAAATCCGGGGTGGGGTCCACCAACTCCCAGGACGCGTCCACCAGCGACAGGGGCTCCTGGGCCAGAGCACGCTCAGACATCTGCATGTCCCACTCCTCCTGAAGCCGCAGCGCAAAAACCAGATCGTCATCCATCGCTGCCAGGAGCCCAGACGGGATCCGCCCGGCCCAGCTCGATCGTCGGTGAAGCCGCGCACCACGTCCGGGAGGCTTTCAGGGCTGGGTCGAACTCCTCGGAGAAACCGGCTCTCGAGCTGCTCTCGCGCCTGCGCGCCGATCTCGCGAGAAGTCAATGGAGACCGACTCGAGACCGAGAACACCGCTGGGCCCAAAAGCCGACGGCAAAACTCTGGGCCTTGAGAAAAGAAATCAACACGACACCTCCAAATGGGCTCAAAATTGAGCTTCTAAAGCTTCGGCTGAAGGTTTCAAGAAGCCATTACTGTCTTGACTCTTCGCCAGGCACTCAGAGTTAGCGTCACACCCCACGCAATCGCAATATCGCCGTCTGGCTGCCCCGCCCTCCACTCGCTTCCGCTACCGCGCCTCCTGCGCGTGCGTACTAGAACCCTGGCGTTCTTGCGCAGGCGCAGTCCCTGCGTCACGGCTCCTTGCGCAGGCGCGGTGGGTGACGCTCAGACCCGGGCGCAGGCGTCCTCCTCTCCCTTCCATCCTGCTTCCTCAACTCTGGAGCTCGGTGGGGCTCGGGCGGGTCTGGGCTGTGGCGGCGCTGGCGGCGGCGATAGTGACAGTGACGGCCTGAGACCCGGCCGGAAATGGCGATGGCGATGTCGGACAGTGGGGCGAGTCGCCTGCGGCGGCAGCTGGAATCCGGGGGCTTTGAGGCGCGGCTGTACGTGAAGCAGCTCTCGCAGCAGTCGGACGGGGACCGGGACCTGCAGGAGCACCGGCAGCGCATCCAGGCGTTGGCGGAGGAGACGGCGCAGAACCTGAAGCGCAACGTCTACCAGAACTACCGGCAGTTCATAGAGACCGCCCGCGAGATCTCCTACCTGGAGAGCGAGATGTACCAGCTCAGCCATCTGCTGACGGAGCAGAAGAGCAGCCTCGAGAGCATCCCGCTTACCCTGCTGCCGGCTGCCGCCGCCGCCGCCGGGGCTGCCGCGGCCTCCGGAGGGGAGGAAGGAGGCGGGGGCGCGGGGGGCCGAGACCATCTCCGGGGCCAGGCCGGTTTCTTCCCCCTCCCGGGGGTCGCCTCCCGCGACGGTGCCGGTCCGGGCGAGGAAGGGAAGCAGCGCACGCTCACCACCCTGCTTGAGAAGGTGGAAGGCTGCAGGCACCTGCTCGAGACGCCGGGGCAGTACCTAGTGTACAACGGGGACCTGGTGGAATACGAGGCGGACCACATGGCCCAGCTGCAGCGGGTGCACGGCTTCCTCATGAACGACTGTTTGCTCGTAGCCACTTGGCTGCCACAGCGGCGGGGGATGTATCGCTACAATGCCCTTTATCCTCTAGATGGCTTGGCCGTGGTCAATGTCAAGGACAACCCGCCCATGAAGGACATGTTCAAGCTGCTCATGTTCCCCGAGAGCCGTATTTTTCAGGCGGAAAATGCTAAAATCAAGCGAGAGTGGCTGGAAGTGCTGGAGGAAACCAAGAGGGCCCTCAGTGAAAAAAGGCGGAGGGAGCAGGAGGAAGCAGCGGCCCCTCGAGGGCCACCCCAGGTGACCTGCAAGGCTAGTAACCCGTTTGAGGATGAAGAAGATGACACACCAGCTGCTCCGGAGGTAGAAGAAGAGAAGGTGGACCTCTCAATGGAATGGATCCAGGAGTTACCTGAAGATCTGGATGTCTGCATTGCCCAGAGGGACTTTGAGGGGGCCGTCGACCTGCTGGATAAGTTGAACCATTATCTAGAGGATAAGCCCAGTCCACCTCCAGTAAAAGAACTAAGGGCCAAAGTGGATGAGCGTGTCCGACAGCTCACTGAAGTGCTAGTGTTTGAACTCTCTCCAGATCGGTCCCTGAGAGGTGGTCCCAAGGCCACCCGCAGGGCAGTTTCTCAACTAATTCGACTTGGCCAGTGCACAAAGGCTTGTGAGCTGTTTTTGAGAAATAGGGCAGCAGCTGTGCATACTGCGATAAGGCAACTTCGCATTGAAGGTGCCACTTTGCTTTACATTCATAAGCTCTGCCATGTCTTCTTTACCAGCCTTCTCGAGACTGCCAGGGAATTTGAGACCGATTTTGCAGGCACTGACAGTGGATGCTACTCTGCCTTTGTGGTCTGGGCAAGATCAGCTATGGGCATGTTTGTGGATGCTTTCAGCAAGCAAGTGTTTGACAGTAAGGAGAGTCTCTCTACAGCAGCGGAATGTGTAAAGGTGGCAAAAGAGCATTGTCAGCAACTGGGCGACATTGGACTAGACCTCACTTTCATCATCCATGCCCTGCTGGTGAAAGACATCCAAGGGGCTTTGCACAGTTACAAGGAGATCATTATTGAAGCCACAAAACATCGCAATTCAGAGGAGATGTGGAGGAGGATGAACTTGATGACTCCAGAGGCCTTGGGTAAACTCAAAGAGGAGATGAAGAGTTGCGGGGTGAGTAACTTTGAGCAGTATACGGGGGATGACTGTTGGGTGAACCTGAGTTACACAGTGGTTGCTTTCACCAAACAGACTATGGGCTTCTTGGAAGAGGCACTGAAGCTGTATTTCCCGGAGCTGCACATGGTACTTTTGGAGAGTCTGGTGGAAATCATTTTGGTTGCTGTTCAGCATGTGGATTATAGTCTTCGGTGTGAGCAGGATCCAGAGAAGAAGGCTTTTATCAGACAGAACGCATCCTTTCTGTATGAAACAGTCCTCCCTGTAGTGGAAAAAAGGTTTGAAGAAGGTGTGGGGAAACCGGCAAAGCAACTTCAAGACCTGAGAAATGCATCTAGACTTATTCGTGTGAATCCGGAGAGTACAACGTCCGTGGTCTGATGCTTGGACCTGTTGATGTGTATACATATGTATTGCTCATGTATTATTTATATTTATATTTCATTAGCATATTCTTCAGAGCCTCAAGCACAACTTTAAAATAAAAGATGCCCATTGAGAAAGGCAAAGTCGAAAAGAGGAAAAAGAAGTGTTGTAAAGCCCAAATAACAAAAACATTGGAACTATTAAAACATGTACTATGCTTTCCTTTTAAATTATGCCAACTCTAATGAATCTGTTGTCACAATATAGCATTTCAACTTATCTTTTGAGTCAGTACTCACTTTCTCACAATATATATTATGCAGCACAGAGAAATGTTAGTATCTATAAAAACATAGTGTTTGTGTGGTGTGAAGTTTCCTGATTGACTAAATCATTAGGTTTTTAAATGTTTCATTGCCATGTGAAACACCCTGCCTCATGTACTTGCCCACCTTAAAACATAATGGAACAATTTAGGGAAGAAAAGGGAGTTAGGAAAATTGACTTCAGGGTAAGTCTTGGTGGAAAGCATTCCTGTTTGAAACTGGCTAGTGTGCAGCCTCAAATATTCTATCCTTATGCAAGAGGAAGCAACAGTTCTGCAAATGTTTCCAACATAGTTTGAATGGCTAATTTTCAATGGTTAATTTGTGGTTTTAGGATATTTGATTTGGAACATTTCCTTGAAAATCTTAAGGATTGTGATAATTGTTTAGATCCTCTCCCACTTTCAATGTAGATTAGTGACTCAGACTTCCTGCAAGTGAGAGAACAGTTTTCTTTAAAATACTTTTTAGATTTCAGATTCTGGCTGCATATTGTTCTGAAGGATGGTTGTTTTGAGCAGAGATTTGTTTTTTGTTTTTTGGTTTTTTTGCAACAAAATAGAGAAAATTTAGACATTGTACCCCAAGCAAAGGGAGGGAAAGAGCCTTTGGAGACTCTTATTAAATGCTTCATGCTGCATTTTTCTTTATTTTTCTTGCTTTGTTTTTAAGGTGACCATGTGCTTACTTCAGATTGTTTAGTAAAACAAAAATTACTAAAGAAATTTAAGCTTCCCGAGGCTTCTAAACTATTGTTTCTATTGTATCTCGATAAAACATTCCACTACTTTAAGAAAAATCATCTTAGCTAAGATCCATTTTTCCCCTAGTTTATAGTTGTGTTTCTTGTCCATAAGTGCCATTTCTAATGCAATGACTTCAAAAGATCATTCCCTTTATTTGAACAGAAGTAGTGGTGTTAAGATTGGGAATTATGCAAAACCTAAAATAGCTTCCAAATAGTGGCTTAAGGTTGTAAAGCTCCATGACTTAATTACCTTCCAGATAAAACCTTATTTTAAGCAGTGCATATTTAGAAGATTGAAAATTATCAAAATTATAGATTTTCTTTGACTATTTTTTTTTCATACAACTTAACAATTTTCTAGATAACAACCATAACTGGATATCACTGCTAATCAAAAACAGTTATAATTTGTCTTTTTTAAGATCACTGGAAACTTGAATTTTGATCAAAATTTTCTATTTTGTGCTTCTTATAGTTTCTGAAATTACATTGTATTTGAAACAGGTGTTGTGTATATATTTGATGCTGGGTCCATGAACTGATACTTCTGAAATCAAAGCTTCTCAAGGCATGAAGTTGTAAAAACTTAAATGTGTGTACTCAAATATTTAAACGGTTGCTTCTTCATAGTATTATCTGCTTTTGAAAACTGGAAGTACAAAATTTTCTTCTGTTAAAATTTGTGTGGTCTTTAAAGTTGTCGCTGAAGGATATGCTTTTGATGAATCAGTTAGTGTGGGGAATTGATTAACAACCACCTATGTTATTAATGTACCTCTGTGCGAAGACAGAGCAATTACATTGCCTTCCTCAAAGTGCAGTTGAGCGCTTCTCTAATTCTTGTTTAATTAGACTCCAAGTTCTAAAACTTGAATGCAGTTAGAAATTGTCCAAATATAGTACATATGCTAATAAACCACTTGAAGGTTGATTTGTTGTTTGCTTGAAACATAACACTATCACTTGAGCTTGGAATCACAGACTTGATTGGATTAATTGCTGTTGTAAAAAGACACCCTGTGGAATTACGTCTGTTTTTGATTAAAGCCTCATTTTATGTAAGTGCTGAAAACTCAGTAATTTTTATTTAAAATACTACCTGTCGTTAAATTTATCACCAGTTTTATTTTGCAACTTGCTTACCTAGGATTGGGAAGTTGGCATTTGACATGTAGTATAAAATCAGTATATGTACATTTCTCTTATTGTTCCACTGTGATATGAGGGAATCTAAAATGTTTTATCAAAATAAAGCTTAAAACTTTTTTACACTGGATAAAATTGATTGATATTACAGTGTTTCATTTCTATTAAGAGTTTAATGTTCTATTCTTATTATTGAAATATGTTTTGAAAAGCTTTAGGCTTGGGCCTCCCTGGTGGGCAGCGGTTGAGCACTGGGTTGCGAAGCTGCCCGCAGCCTCTGCAGTGCCGGTTCGATCCCCAGCTGTTCCCCGGCCACCGGAGGAGGGTCCCACATGGCACGCAAACCTCTCCTGCCGCCCGCTGCTCCCCTCAGCAGTGTACTTCGTCAGTCTGCCTGTTCTGCTCTCCGCTCTGGCTCTGGTGAATTCTCTCACCCTCCTGCGCTTCTGACTGTACCCAGTGCTTGTATATATAAATAAATAAATAAATCTTTAAAAAAAACCCCAAAAAACATGAATAAAAAAAAAAAGAAAAGCTTTAGACTTGTTTGTTTTTTTCATATTGGAGTGGTAAATAGGGAGCTGCTAGTGTTATGCTACTATCAGAACTGTGATTAAATAAGATCTCAGGATTTTTTGTTTTTTTAAGGATTCCCTGGAATGGGAAATTCCAAATATATAAAATACCATTTTACGCTAAAAAAGTGGAGTTTATACCATCTGCACGTCTCTAAATGAAAAAAATATTATGTAGGCCATATGACCTAGGAATTGCCACCATAAATGATTTCATCATTTGTTTTTAGGTGAGTAAATATTAAGGGAATATAGTTGATTTTAAATTATTACATACTACATCTCACATTCACTATAATGTGGGGTGGAATGGATAAAATTCAGCTTTGCTTTCTTTTTAGTATGTTTAAAAGTAAATTGAATGCAAATGTGTTACAAAAAAAAAGAATATTGCAGATTCAGTTCTGTGGGAATACTGAGGAGAAAGAGCAGTATTATTTTGCGTTGTTTGGAATTCCTCATGGAATTGTTGGCATTGGAGCTGTTCCTTGAAAAACAAGATGGGGCCTCCCCTGGTGCCGCAGGCAGTTGAGCACAGCTCTCTGAAGCTGTCCGCAGCCTCTGCGGAGCCAGTTAGATCCTGGCTGACCAGTGCAGGTCCTACATGGCGCGGCGGACCTCTTCTGTTGCGCCCGCTGCTCCCCTCAGCAGTGTACTTTGTCAGTCTGCCTGTTCTGTTCCCCACTCTATCTCTGGTGAATCCTCTCACCCTGTGGCGCATCTGGCCTGTACCCCAGTTCTTGTATGCATAAGTAAATAAATCTTTAAAAAGAAAAACAAGATGCACAAAGATCATGACCAGCAGAAGACAAAAAAGTGGGAATAGGTGAGGCTCTTACGGAGTTAAGTGCTGACAAGGTTGTGGAGTGGGACAAACAGGGAAGTAGGCTGCTATCACAGCCCCAATGCCAATGATTTCATATTGGAGGAAAGAAAAGTTTGGTAAGGGACGCATGTTGTCTTTATTTTTTTTAAAAAAAGATTTATTTATACAAGAGCTGGGGTATAGGCCAGATGTGCGGGAGGATGAGAGGATTCACCAGAGACAGCAGAAAGCAACAGGTAGACTGACTGAAATGCACTGCCGAGGGGAGCAGCAGGCGAGACAGGAGAGGTCTACCGCGCCATGTGGGATTCTCACCGGAATCGAACCCGCGCTGCAGAGGCTACGGACAGCTTGACAGTGCGGTGGTCAACCGCCTGCGCCACCAGAGAGGCCCGGTAAGTGATGCATGTTGTGTTAATAAAGCTTGAATCCATGCAGAGCATATGAAGTAAAAAAGTCAAGGTATCCCACCCAAACTCCCATTACCTCCCCCCACCAGAGGTAATACTGGTAAGTTTCTTGTACATCTTTTTCCAGAAATTGGATCGTACTCTACATACCATTGAACGTCTTGCTTTCATTCACTTGCCAATTCTTTTTTTTTAAAGATTTACTTATTTATGCATACAAGAGCTGGGGTGAAGGCCAGAGATAGAGTGGGGGAACAGAACAGGCAGATTGACTGAAATACACTGCTGAGGGGAGCAGAGGGTGAGATAGGAGAGGCCATGTTGGTTAAGTCCCTGGCAGGGGATGGAATTCGTGCTGCAGTGACTGCCCATAGTTTCAGAGTGCTGAGACTTTACCCCTTGAGGCAGCAGGGAGGCCCTTTATTCATTTCTTAAAAACAGTATTTTTTATTCATTTTTGCTAATTTTAACTGCAAAAAAAATAGTAGGTTTATAATCTTAATGAGTGAGCTTGACAATTTTGTATTTGTTTATGTCCTTTGCCATTTTATTCTTTGATTATCTGTATATTGTGTAGGAACTGATGATATATTTAGGAAATTAATCCTTCATGGGTGCTCAGTGTTGTAGACTTAGTTTGTCATTCATTCATTTCATGTATTTTTGTAGGTAGTATATTTTAACTTGTTATGAATCGCCAGGTATGATCCTGTACCTCTGATTCATGCATAGTGTTGTAAGCCAATGTTATATCAATTAAAAAAAAATTACAGTGTGAGCCCTTTCTCATCCCACAGAATTCTTTGGAAACAAAAATAATAGTTACTTTAGCCAGTCTCAAAACAAAATGAAAAATAAAAACATTGGGCCTCCCCGGTGGCACAAGGGGTTAAGCACAGCACTGTGAAGCTGTCTGCAGCCATTGCAGTGAGTTCAATCCCTGGCCAGCCAGGGAGCTACTCACATGGTTAGCACCTTTCCTGTCTTGCCCGCTGCTCCCCTCAGCAGTGTACTTTGGTCAATCTGCCTGTTCTGTTCCCCGCTCTGTCTCTGGTGAATCCTCTCAAACACACACACACACACACACACACACACACACCCCTCTGGCCTGTATCCCAGTTCTTGTATGCATAAATAAATAAATCTTTAAAAAAATTAAAACATTTATTCATGTTTCTTTGTACTACCTTGTGAAGCTAGAGACAGTGCCCCAGTTCCAGGACTCCCCTCTTACACCTCCACTCAATATGGGGCTCCTGATGCAGCTGTCAGTGCCTCCCCCTATAGCTTACCAACCTGGACTGGGCTTAGACTGCATCAATGGCTGCCTTCCCCCAGCAGGGTGCCGCCTTTCCCTGGATTTGGCCGGAGGAGAGAAGGAGGGGCCACTCACAGGGAGAGCCTGTCAGCCTAGTAATTGCTGGAGTGGCTACCCACACACTCATTCATGTTTTTCTTCTAGTAATTTTTTTTAATATCTGAAATTTTCCTTCACCTAATTTATTTTCAAGTAAAGACTATCATAAGAACCACTTGCACCACAAATAATGATCAAGTTGTTGCAACAATTTGAATCGTCCTTTTCCCCACTGACTTAAAAAATCATTTTAATAACGTTACTTTTATGTTATGTTGGGTCGCGCAACAGCACACTGACAAAGACACGGGAGGCGTGGAGCAGGCTACATAATGCAGGCTGCTGCTGAGAGCAAGATCCTGGCCATTTTTGTTGATAGAGTAATCGTACAGCATCAGCTACACGCGCTAGGAGGACAAGGAGAAAAGGATTGGGTAAAACTCAGGAATGTCATTTAGGGCTTGGGGGGACATGAGGCTGCTGACCATGTTATCAGCTTGATGACCAAGCGTTGTAATTGAAAACGGATCACAGACCCCTGGCCACGGTCCTAATCTTATCAACAAGGCATTCCACTGGTCAGCTTTTGGGGTCCCTTGTCATACGTTGGTCCTCAGCCCCCCAGGCATTTCCAGTCATACCTCATGATGTATATGAGTCGGGAGTAAGTTTATGCATCTGTTCTCAGCCTCCCGGGGTGTTCCCGGTCATACCTCTTGATGCATACCCTTCCCAGAATGATCGAGCTTTCTGCTCTTGATTGATATGAAAGGCACCTTGTAAGGTTTGGCTCAGATGACTGTGACTGGACAGTTCTGACCTTTGTGTAGGAATGCAGAACTGCAGGTAACTATAATGGTGGCTGAAGGGGCCACTTAAGTCTAGCAGCCCCACAATGTTATATTTGTATCTGGGTAGATTGTTAGGCTCTATATTTTATTTCACTGATATTCCTATTTCTGTGCCCATATGAAGTAGTTTTCATTAACTTGAGACTTATAATTTAGTAACTGTCAGGACTGGTCTCCTGCTGTTTCAGGAGTTCCCTAAGTATGATGACATATTCATAACTCAAGTTTTATTGTGAATAAGTTTATGGCATTTTCTACCATTCCACAAAGAGTTGGCATTTTTATTGAAATCATATCAAGTCTATCAATTAATTTAAGGAAAATTGACATCTTTGTAATTTTGAATTTTCATATGCAAGTAGCCTTTTGTATTTATTTCCATAGTATTTTGAAATTTTCTGGGGGTAGATTTTGCATGTTTTTTTGGTGAGTTTCTGCCTGGTATTCATTTGCTTGTGCTGTTGTAAATGAAGTCTACCTCCATTATGGTTTCTGATTGTTAGGACTGGAGGCAAAGTACTGTTTAGTTACAAATGCTGCAGCCAGGACTTTCCTGGTGGCATAGGGGTCAAGTCTCAGAGCTACCACTTCTATCCCCTGAGCTCGATCCCAGGCCCTGGAACTAACCCACCTATGGCGCAGCAGACCTCTCCTGGCTCTAGATCCACCTGTTCTGCTCCCCATGCTGTCTCTAGTGAGTCCTCTCACCCCCCTGCACCTCCAGCCTATATCCTGGGGTGTAGAAAACACACACACAAATAATAAAATAAAGAAAGAAAACGTAACTTGCCCAGGTGGCTTCGGGTGACATCTCAAATAGCTAAAACTGAAGGGCTTTGCTGGAAAGAGAAGGGAGGTCAGGTAGGAACCTTCAGAGAAGACACAAAGGTGTGTAGTTTTCTGCCTTCTCCATGGAAGAGGGATAAGGAGATTAGGTCTTCCAGGTACACCCCCTTTAAATGTCTTTTATAAAAGCATCCTCCCACAACCTTCAAAACCACTCCCATGAAATCAATCTTTGACCAAAAAGACCTATTTTAGGGTGGCAGATATTTGCTCCCCCACATTACAGCCCTGGCACTCATGAACCATGTTTGAGGCTGTTCCTTTTAGGGTCTGGCCATCTCCTCCAGTGGGCCTATGAGATATTTTGTGGGGTTTGTGTTTTTTTTTTGAAAGATTTATTTATTTATGCATACAAGAACTGGGGTACAGGCCAGAGGTGTGTGGGGGGTGGTAAGAGGATTCACCAGAGACAGAGTGGGGAGCAGAACAGGCAGATCTACTGAAATACACTGCTGAGGGGAGCAGCGGGTAAGACAGGAGAGGTCTGCTGCGCCACGTGGGTTGCTCCCTGGCCGGGGATCGAACTCCTGCTGCAGTGGCTGGTGGTAACTTGATAGCGCCATGTCTTTAACCCCTGTGCCACCCCTAGGATATATTTTATAGACCAAAAAGCCACCCTCCCCTCTCTTCTTTGTGTGTGTTTGCTCCTTTGATGGAACTCTGCTTCTTCCAGCAAATCCTGTTTTCATCCTTGGGTTTATTAAATCACTAAAAACAAGGCTAAGTGGTAATATTTTGTTGGCAATACTTTGCTTTCTACTTTGCTGCTAATTTTCATCAAGACAAGGAGACTGAAGCTTAATTTTTTTGTTTGAATGGTGAAAAAGTTAAGGAGAAAAAGAACAAGCAAAGTTATTCAGCCACATACTTAACAGGTATATAAACTGAGTCACCAGCTCACCACGATGATGATTTTAAAAGGATAGTGGGAAAGAGAGAGAGAGAAAGAAAGGAAGTAATGACAAAACTAACCTCAGTTTGCCAGAGGGGTTCCAAGGCAGCTGAAATGACACCCTCCCACTCTTCACTCCAAAGGGAGCAGCTCTGGCCTTTGCAATTCAGTCATTAGCCCTCAGACATGAGATTTGTTTTTAAGGAAATGAGAGTTGGGCTTATTATTATTTTTTTAAAGATTTATTTATTTGTTTATACAAGCACTGGGTACAGTCAGAAGCGCAGGAGGGTGAGAGAATTCACCAGAGCCAAAGCGGGGAACAGAACAGGCAGATTAACGAAGAACACTGCTGAAGGGAGCAGCAGGCGGCAGGAGAGGTCTGCGTGCCATGTGAGACCCTCGCCCGGCGGCCGGGGATCGAACCGGCGCTGCAGAGGCTGTGGGCAGTTTCGCAGCCCAGCGTTCAACCACTGCGCCACTGGGGAGGCCCCGAGAGTTGGGCTTATTAACCCAAGATTTTTTGACAAAAAGTATGTGTGAAATGCAAAACAATTGCCTTCATCCTGTGACTGAACTTTCTTGCTGCTCATTTTCCTTGTTAATAGGAGGATAATACTAACAGTATCTACCTCACAGTAATGTGAGGATTAAGTGAACTAATATTTATAAAGCACTTACTTCTAAAGGTTCCTGGCACACAGTAAGCACCCATAAGTGTTAGTCTTAAGTTTTACCTCCGCCAGGGACTGAGCCAAGCCAATGAGGGCTCCAGGTAGGGCCAAGGCCCCCACAGACTTCCCTTCACTTCAGTTCTTCACTTCTTGCACATGACAAAGAGTACCCTAGTTAAAATAAGTTTAATTTTTTTTTTTTGAGCAAATCACGACCTTCCATTTTAATTCATGAATTTTGGAGTATAATTTCCATCTCACAAACATGTTTATCTGAAACTAAGAATAGTGTCAAAAAAAAAAAAAAAAGAAAAAGAGAATGGTTATTTATGCCAAAAATAGTCATTTATGCCAAATCCCAACATTTTATACCTAAGGAAAGACACCTAGAGAAAAATCCTGGGTGAGAGCCGTGTGGGGAGTGCCCCTGGTCCTTTGCACTGCCAACGGCTGCCATTAACTTGACTTTGTGCTGGATTATTTGGTACATTTTGAATTTTGTGTCTCTCCTTCTGTCCCAGTTCTCTGGGGCCTAACTTCTGTCTTGTGGTTCGTGCTGCTATGTGCCTTGGATTTGTTCTGGTGTTTTTGGGCCTCAGCTTCCCCACTTTTAGCTGAGTCTGTTTGACTGGGTGTTCACTCACAAGGAGGTGGGTAGTTTTGGAGTTTGATTGGGAACTGTAATTTTAAATCTTTTCTTTTCTTTCTTTGGCTATGCCCTTTCAGACCAATTAAAGACCTTTGAGCACGCTGAGTCTGCTCACCTTCCCTTTGTGTGTGCAGGTGGTCAAACACTTGGAATAGGTATAATGGGATTTTCCCCTTATCCACTTGGCGTCCTTGGGTTGCCCTCAGCCATGTGGCTACATTATGATGGCTGTGTTCAGCAGAGGGGCAGGCTGTAGGAGCCTGCACAGCTGCCCAGACAAGCCCATCTACCCAAGTGACCTGGGCCTTGATTGGTCTATTGGAAACTGATCCTATTGCCACAAAATAGGCAGAAACAAAAACCAACCTGTTTGCAAGCACACACAAATATTTTCTTATGTGGCACTGCTACAATTAATAAAAAAGTCTGCAACTGGAAAATCTAGGGCATAGCACTACTGACCTGAAATAGGACTGAATTTTTCAAAATTTAAACTCTTTAAAGCACTTAAAAAAAAAAAAAGATTTATTTATGCATACAAGAGCTGGGGTATAGGCCAGAGGTGGGGGTGGGGTGAGAGGACCCACCAGAGACAGAGTGGGGAGCAGAACCGGCAGATGCACTGAAATACACTGCTGAGGGGAGCAGCAGGCGAGTCAAGAGAGGTCTGCTGCGCCATGTGGGTCACCTCCCTGGCTGGAGATTGAATTCAGCCCATAGTGGGGATAGCACCGAGGTTTAACCCCTAGGCTACCAGGGAGTCCCGTGGTCAATAACTGCTATTAGGTTTCTCCAATAGGGCTCTTGGTCCCCAGGAGCTGTTCTCCCGCTGGTTTTGTTCCAGACAGTGTAGAAGATGCTAATTTGTTTCCTGAACGTCCCATACAAGCAAGGCTATGTCTGTTCACCAGGTCTTCACAGATTAATTTAAACAGGCACACAGGGGCTCCAGTAGCCTACTGGGATGGTTTCAAACATTCTAGTGCAGGGTGCTGTCAGGGTGCAAAATAAAGCACCCCATACCCCTCTGGGTTCTTCTTGGGCTGGATGAGTAATTAAAACATCAGATAGATTAGAAAAGGAAAAATAATACATTTAAAACATATGTATGGAGAATTTACATGGTTGTGCATCCTAAAGAATAACGGAGCAGACCAGGAATATTTATGCTGTATTTTAGGATCTGAGGCATCAAACACAGAGAAGGGGGGACTTCATCCTTACTCTGAGAATAAAGATGAGATTCTTAGAACATGTTTACTGATAAAACTGAAGCTGGATGAGACCCCCAAACTGCATTCTTCTAGGTCATAAGAGGGAGAACATCAAGTTTCTTCAATTAGGAAAAGGGCAGAAGCTTAGGATATATTGATCTCTTCTTTTAGCCCTAGAGGGGCTAAGGACCTAGGCAAGAACAGATGCTTCTTCTAGCCTTCAGACCCCCCATCTGGCAAGTTAGGGGGTCCTAGGGTCCCCCTTAGCCTGCCTGCTAACACAGTGACACTGTTCTGTCACGTCTTTCAGAACCAACCCCCAGGACATTCTGATCACACAATCAAACAACCCACCCTCTGTCCGCTCCTCCACCATCCCAACCCCATACTTCTGAAGGCTGGCTCCTGCTCATCCTAATTCTGAGCTTAAATGTCACTTCCAGAGGTGGCTAGCTGCCCAGGTTTAATTATCTTAAGTCAAACTTTTCTTCCCTTGAATTCTTTTTTTTTTTTTAAGATTTATTTATTTATATAAGAACCAGGGTACAGGCCAGATGTGTGGGAGGGTGAGAGGATTCACCAGAGACAGAGCAGGGAATAGAACAGGCAGACTGACTGAATACACCGCTGAGGGGAGCAGCGGGTGAGACAGGAGACGGGAGAGGTCTGTTTGCCTTGTGGGTATCTCCGTGGCTGGTGGGGATCGAACCAGCACTGCAGAGTCTGCGGACAGCTTCACAGCGTAGTGCTCAACGGCCTGCGCCAGCAGGGAGGCCCTTCCCTTGAATTCTTAAGTCTATTCATGACACAACACAAAACTTCTCTTTGGTGCACATGCTTTTGTTAATTAAGGCCCGTGGGTGGCAAAATTTAATATAAGATAGCTAATTTATTATTTGTCTCTGTCAAACTTGTATTTGTTTGCAGCAACTTTACTTAAAACCACAAGAAATGGAAGACATATCCTTTCTAGTAGTCTTTTTTTAAAATAGCTATAGCCTCTGGTATTGATGTCGTGCTCTCATTTGGAAGTCAACACTCAACGCTGAAAAGTCTTAGTGAAACAGGAGCTGGACTGTGTTTTTTCAAAAGGCTTTTATTTTAAAACACACACAGAGCTGGATACAAATGCCTTAGCCATTGTAGTGGAGATTACATTCATTTCTTAAACCCATCATTTCTTCTGCTCACCTGAGCACAGTGTTCTCAGAGTCTTACGGAGGATGAGAACATGAGTCTCTTCCCTTACTTTTCTGGTTGTTGTAATAAGACTCCTTGGATGACAGTAATTATATGAACAAATTTTCCATAACTGCTCAGTGATTATTAAAGTTTTGCTGTCACTGGTTTTCCTACTGGTATCTTACAACCTAGGACAAAAAAAGAAAGATGTGAAATGATAGGAAGTTTGCCCTCCCTCCTTCAAGTGCTTAAGTCACTGACAAAGGAGAAAGACCTCACATTTGAGCCAAATTTTCCAGGCGGACAGAGGACCAATGGAGGGCCAGCCCCCTTGACAGGAAAAGCAGCATCTCAAAGTGGTGGGAGGCTGGGCCAGCACCACTAGCCTGGCTCTGAGGCAGGATATGACTAAGTCACTTTTCTAAATTTCAAGTCTAGTTTGTTCATACCCACATATTTGCCTTCCATGGTTAAGAAGTAAATTCCACCTTCCTCACAGGATGTTTTAGTTATGTGCCCTTCTTAAGAAATTCAAAACTGAATTTCAAGGTTACATGTTAAGAGAGTTCAGATATAATAAAGACAGGAGACTGGGATTTCAACCTATGTATTTTCCTCAACAAGAAACAAGTATTTTCATGTTCCTGAACTATGTCAACTAGATTCCTCTGCCCTTTTCTTCCTGGCTTTCCCCTAATCTCAACAGACATACATCTAAATTTCTTCCATGTATGTTAGACAAAGGTACTCAGTAAGGATTAGGTAAAAGATACTACTTACAAGAACATCAGCGATCAAGTGTTTCTTCAATATAATCAGCAGATGATTGGGGTATTTTTGCAAATGCTAACCTCCCCTTCTAAAATCACCCCGTCATTCCTCTGAGAAGCATTCTCTCTCTCCCCTGACCTTTTGTATCTCTTTGCTGGTATCAACACTCTGACCCTTACTGTATACCATACACAAACCACCTTGCCTTTGTGGGCAGGGCTATTTTTTTTATAAGCTGATAGGCTCTGGGGAAGAGCAAGGATAGGCTGTTCTTCCAGTTTTGAGTTCAGAAAGCCTATGTGAGAGAGGCAGACATCGGACCCAGCTCCTCAGTGGGAAAGAAGGGATGCAAGAGGAGAGGGAGAGACTGAATGCAGCGACATGGAGGTATTTTTTGCATGTCCATCAAGATTCAATGTGAAAGGTCTAGAGTTTGGACCCTTATTATGTGAAGAGTATAATTTTTTGCTGCACAAGGCTGCCTCTTCTAAGCTGATGTTTTCTCTATTAATATTCTTTGTGCTTTCTGCTTAGTTTTCTGGAGAAAATTCTAGCTATAAGTATTCCTCTGCTTATGTTAAAGCTTTGTTGATATTCATTTTGATGAAGTATTTGCTGCTCCAGTATATTTTTTTGTTTCACTATATAGGTTGATAAATACAATAATATTTTATTAGAGTTACTTACCAAGCATTTCTTCTAATCTTGTTGTGGCAGTTTCATTCACATAAAATACACAGTCATTATTTCTAGGGAAAAAAAGAAACAAGTTTTCTTAATGCACAAACTACAGGGAATAAAGAACAACTTTCATTATTGATAAAGACTATTTTTAAAAAAGTGTTCTCAAGTTTTAAATAGTTGATTGGTCCCTTTTTTCTGTCCTACTTCATGACTTTAGGCAACCTAAGAATAATTCTGGGAGCATTTAGCATTAAGCTTTATTGCTCTTAAATTCATTCATTCAAAAGAGTAAATATTTATCTATACATACATATAGGTGTTTATTTATGTTGTGTACATATATCTATATGTGTACATGTAAGCACTACACTACACTCTCCAAAAAGTTTTCTTATATATCATTTTTGCTTCAATCATTTTTATTCATAGCTACATAACATTTGCGTGGTAGCTCATGTTGATGAAAATAACCAGGAGTGTATACATGAAACACAATATAGTGTTTACCAGATCATATACTTTTACGTCTCGTTAGATTTTGTGTTCAGCTGCTATCAATTGTCACTACCCCTTTAGCATCAGCATCCAAGGGAGTCCTGCCCAGTACTTACACCTTCCTCTTTTCCAGCACACCTAGCCTCACAAAAGCTGCTAAGGCATTTTTCTGTACATCGGAAGATAACACATCGTAACACTGTGAGGCACCTAGAACAGAGTGGGAGGAAGAGTGAGTGAACTACTTTTTGATCTAAACTACAGGATATCGTCTCCTTCAGAGGTGTGACTAACCTTGATCGAGAAGCTGACCTGTGAATTTCCTAACTCCAGCTAAGTACTGTTTCTCAGTGAAGTGTTCTTCTTCTTCTTTCAAGAGGTATTTGCAAATTATCTGATTTTAAGAGAAAGGATGAGAGGAAAAGAAGATAAAAGAGCCGCCAAATAAAACAGAACAGGAAGTATTTTACAGTGCCTCTCTTACAAGAAAGACAAGCCACATTGGAGCAGAATAAAGACCTTACAAGGTTTGCGCATAGAAAAGCTACAGAATTTTTTGGTCTCTCTAGAGCTTATATCACTGTTTACAATTAGAAAAGAAAAAGTTTCAAATAGTACTGACATTTATCAAAATAATTTCCCACTTTAATGGGTTACAAATTAAACAAATTATTAGATTAACAACATATTTTAAGAAGGGAGGGGCCAGAGTTCTGTAACTTAGTTTTTTTCGCTAAAAACATCTAATAACATGGTGGGCCTTAAAATACTTGATGACTTCTATCACAGAAAGGTGCTTAAAGGTAGAAGCTGTGTTTAGCACATGCCTACTAAGTGCTGGGTTTTGTGCCAGAGGGCTGCCGGGGCACTTCACTGACCATAGCACCACTCTGCCAGCCTCTAACCAGGCACAGAGCTGAGAGCCCTCTCCTCTCAAATATGCATGGGTCTCTCACACTCCCTGCGTCCCTCTCAATCCTGGCACAATTCCTGCTGGGCATATTGAAGATCCCTTTTCTTTTACCAGTCATTAGAGCTCTGACAATTCTTTCAGATAACATGCACATGAACTTTTTCTTTCCCTTCCAGTATGAGCATTTAGTAATATAATTTATCATTCCATGTCTACTATGTATCAAACACCTCACTGTTTGCTATGAATAAGAGAGGTAAGATACAGTCCAATATATAGTAAGACAATGTTTGGGTGTAACTGTGGTTGTAGAACATGGTACTCTTGGTCTCATTAAGCTGTTACTTTCTTGTGCCTGTAATGGACCATCCCATTTTTGCCTTATACAGGGAGCAAGGCTCACCTGAGAGGCGAATCATTCATCCTGTTAATCAATTTGTTAGTTCTACCATCTACCATCTACCTATTTCAGACCAGAAATAGGCAGAAGGTGGGCAACTCTTAAGTTATATTTGATATGGAAGGATGAAGAACTTATAAAACATTTACATACCTGATAACATTCCACAAAAGGCCTAAAGAGTCCTACCGAAAATTCTAACACAGTATTTCCTTTCTCTGTAACTAGGATGTCCCTTGCCGTCAATTGTACAGTCTCAGTTTTACAAAGTAGGTAACAGCCTTCTTCAAAGTCCTGTAAGGGAAGGGAAGAAGACAGAAGGCACTTAGTAATTTAAGTGTAGATGTATGTTGCTGGTCTCAATAGGCAGTCATGTGCCCTTAGAACAAGAGAACGCAGCTAATTCCACAGCCTTTTCCAGATGGCTCTGCTTGTTACACAGGAGCCAGAAAAGTATTTGTTCTAACACTCAAAACACAACAAACACACAACAAATTTATGAGCTATTTATGATGACTTCTCTTTCACTTTGTACAATCACATTCCTTAAATGTAAATAGGAAGTGCACAGAGCAAGTCTTCAAAATACTTAGAATTATGCTAAAGCTCAAAAGTCACCCTCATTCTCTATTGAATACAATTTGTGCTCCTAAGCATAGCAGACCGACAGCTAACCCACTTTCTAACCTGGCACCGCCCCCGGCCCTACAGACCATCAGTACAGCTCTGACAGCTAGATTCCTTCATTAGCTGTCTACACCATCATATAAGACTACTGCTCTCTAATCTCAAATCAAAAGGTCCAACTCATTCCAACAAGTTAGCAGGAAAAGATGTGATGGTAAGTCTTTACCAAAATAGAGTGGTTGTACTAATGTTTCAAAGAATGATACTCCCCTCACCAAATAATCCCTAAATTACTGATAACACTTGACCAACAATAGAACTAGAATTTACTGAACTGTGTGCCCAGTTTCTTCTGAATTTTGCCCCATGTAACCTTGAAGAAAGTGAAGACACATTGATGAACCCATTTCTAGAATTCTCACTGCAAACACACTTGTTCTTTGGCACTAAGGATTTACCTTTAGCGCGTTTCCTGGAAGAAAGATGAACTCATCTGAGAAAACACTGCGTAGAAAGCAAAAGCAACTGTAGACATCCTCTGGAAATAAATTTATTACATAAAATTACAATAGTGCATTTTAAGCTTTCAGGGACTACCAAGAAGTCATGATATTCCAAAATGCATAATTTCAAGGTGTATTATTTGAATGCCAGGGGCAAGAATTAAGTAAGGCCCCTACAGGAAGCTTTAATCTAGCATAGTTTTAATGGTCGAATCTAAGCTACAACCACACCTCAATTAATCTGTTAGTCTGGAATGATACCACAAGGCTTAAAGGCAGGCCATTTCACTTTCCCTACCCATGGTTCCCCAGTAGAGAGGAAAAGAATGGATTGTCCATTCCCTTTTAGATTTACATTTCCTTATGTTTTTACTCTATCTTTAGCACTAGGATACACCAACACATAATAAAAGAAACTACTGACTTGTTTTCCAGACATGTAAGTCTACCTCGCCCACCAACTACAAAGGTTTCTTCATCTTTCTGACATATGCTATGAAATTTCTCATCATAAAAATAGATAAGCATATGGATATAAATTGTTGCCTCTAGTCTCAAGGTGTTCACAACCCCTACAAAACCAGCTATGCCCCTTGGTTGAATTCCAAAAGTAAGAAAACGCAGATGGAACTAAGATCAAGACTGGAGTTTGTATCCTAAATTAAAATCATCTGACCTCCCTGGGTTTCCTCACCATAAAATGACAGTATGAACATAGGACCTCTGACTTCCTTCTAGGGCTAAAGGTGTGTGGCTGAGCCCAGTGCCCCTCAACACTGACTTTTCCTTAGAATTATTTACAGACCTTTGAAAAATACAAAAACACCAATGCCTGGCCCAAACTCCACTCCAAGTTATTCAGAACCTCTGGGGATAGGGCTCACCCTTTAGTGATTCTAACCCAGCAGCCTGGGGAGCAATGCCCAGGCCTTGTCTACAATTTCTGTTAACAAAACAGCTTTTCCTTATTGCAACTAGAATGTACTATGAGTCTAAAAAAGCACTCCTATGCTGCTGGATTGCTCACTCACACAGACTTCTGTCAGAGGAGGGGACTCTTACAGCAGAACAAGAACATCAGACCTGTGTTCTAGTTCCAGATCCTTCCCTACATAATTATGCAACTTTCTAAATCTGATTTTCCTTATTTATAAAAGGAGTAGGTTAGATTAGAGGTTTTCTTAGGTGCATTTCATTGCTAAATTCTCAGAGGTGTTCATGCATTTAAGGGGAAAACTAACAGTTTCTGGGTGTACAGGACCTATTCCTTGTGGGGGTATAGACTGCACATACACGACTTAACATCATAAAGCTCCAGATGTTGCTCCCTGCATGGAACTCTTCCAAAATTCAAGACCACACTCCCAAAGTTACCTTTCCGGAAGCCAGGTGTCATCTGCAATGCCAAAGCTACTAAGGAAGGACGGACAAAAACATTGAGTAACTGGTTCCTGTAAGCTGAGCACGTGAGGAGAGTGATGTGCTGGAAAATAAGTCCATCAACCACTTCTGAGTCTCCAGAGTTCATGTTCAGAATCACCTGGTCTTTGACAAGGCTGACGATGTTGGAATGCAGAAGAATGCTAGAATGGATAACTTCTTCAGCAGGTTCATTGTCTGCACACAAAGATAATTCATTCAGGCAAAAAGGGACACTAGATGGGTCACTGTTGAAGTCTTAGGTCTAGTTTGTATCAATGCTGGTGATTTGACATGTATATTTTAAAGTGCCAGGTACTAATTTTAGGTTCAACCAATTGAGGTAATGATACCATAGGTGAAGTATATTTTAAAAGCACTATTTCATAAATCAAAATTCTCTAAGGACATGTAATTCATTTTCTTATCTATCCCAAATTTGTTGGTCATTCTGAAATACACATCCCATCCCATTCTGAAAACCAACACTTCCCCAATAACCAAGAATGCCCAAAGTTTTGAAATAGCAACTTAACATGAATGAAAAGCACATAGAGGAGAATTTAACAGTACTAAGACAAAGCCCATAATTAAAGACATGCTACACACACACACACACACACACACACACACACACACACACACACTCCTACCTTGCTTAGACCATTTTCAAGAAGGCAGGGATATCACTTTGCATCTTGACAGGGCAGTCGCCAAGGAGCGACCCAAAGAGATACTCTCTAGCATGAGCACAGAAGGATGCAAAGGAGATTTTCTGATTTTCCCACATCAAAGTGGACCCACACCATTTCTGGTAATTCATCATCTGACATTATATTGACTTGGTGATTGCCAAGGGATGGTGATACTTAACCAATACATTTGGCAAGGGAAATCATTTTACTGTTTCCCAGAGCCAATGAGCTGGGTGACAGGTTGTAAGAAGGTAGACTACTTAAGCTGGGAAACAAGTTCCAATGCTGCTTCATGGAAGGTATCAGTGAGAGGTGAGGTTTTCCCTCTGGAGACTCCATCGTATTTGTGCTGAACTCTCCTTGTTTCAACTTGCCAATGATAATGATATTGTAAATATACATTTTATAATTATAAGATATATTATACATCATAAAAAGCACTAAATGTGGAACTTTTAGGAATGTGGGATAATCTGAGGAAAAAAAGAACTGAACATATAACATGTTCTAAATTAGGAATTACATTTAATCACTCTACATTATTATTGTTACTGAAGTCACCAATCAGCTCTCACTTCATAACTGCAGTCATTTTAGTGGCTGCACAGATACTCTTAGCTATGGACTGGACACATTTTTACCCATCTTGAACAAGTGAAACACCAAGAAAGACAGGTGCCTGTTTTCATATGTTGCTCGGCCAAACAGCTTTGAGTTTATTCTTCTTTCATGACAATCAATATATTCTTTGCCTCCTACCTAGACCAATAAAATATTGAGGCCAGGTGTTTGATTCATTTTTATTTCCTACTGGTGACAACACTCAACTGGCAGATAGCTCTGTAGGAATTCCCCTAACCATAAACTTAGCCTCACCCCATCTTGGCCTCTGCCTTGGTTCAGGTTTCTTCATCTCTCATCCAGGCAGGGCAGCTTTTCAGCTGTTGCCCTGCCTCTAGTCTCTCCCCATTGCAGTCCATCTTAAAACTGATACAATGTTTTTTTCTAAAGCACCATCAGTCTTATATCCCTGTTTAACAGCATGATGCTTCCCATCACCTAAAGATTCCACTCCAGGTCCTGTGGCACAAAGGCCGGCAGGGTAGAGCCCCTGTGCACAGCCTCCTCTGTCACACGCTCTTACCATTGCATTTGTTGGTCAAGGGATACCAGTGCTGTCATGCCATTTCCTAATCCCAAGGTCACAATGCTTCTCTCCTACTTGTCCTCCTGAAGAGCTATTTTTCCACCAAAATCAAGTCACTTCTATGCAATCTTCCCTCAGTGTGGGCCTTTCCTACACAATATTCTCAGAACCCCCCTGCATTTTGTCCATAGTTCCTGGTCTGTATTTCCCTGAACCCTCTTTGCTTGTTTACACCTTACTTACTTGCCTCTGTTCCCTAAGAGCCAGGAGAGTCTCCAGAATACAGTTTTATCTTATTAATCTTTGTATCCCTTGTATTACTCAGTACCAACCAGTTACTCAATACAGGTTTAATAAGCTCGCAGTAGGTACTTGACTATAATGATCTGTTCTAGAAAGGATTGCATTTCCCACTATAGTCTCTACAACTTTAAATGAAAGAGACTAAAAATAACTTAGGCTATTATCATATACACCCCAACCTCCCAGAACAGTATCCATACTTCCAATGAGGTTTTTATAAAGTTATTTTTTCAGAGAATTATATCAAGTTCTCTTAGACCAGTCCTTTAATACTTTTAATCTAGTGAGATAAATGGATTGAAAAAACAATGTGGCTTAAAAAGAGATAAGTAGGGGCCTCCCTGGTGGCCCTAGGGGTTAAGCCTCAGCACGATGAAGCTATTGGCAACCAATGCAGCATGAGTTCAATCCCCAGCCAGGGAGCTAACCCACATGGCACAGCAGACCTCTCCTGTCTCGTCCGCTGCTCCCCTCAGCACTGTATTTCAGTGGGTCCACCTGTTCTGTTCCCCACTCTGTCCCTGGTGAATCCTCTCACCCTCCACCTTTGGCCTGTACCCCAGCTCTTGTATGCATAAAATAAAAAAATAAAAAGAGATGAGTGTATGAGGGAAGAGCATATGATAGAGTACAAAAAGATTCATTATTTTCTACCAGGCAAGGACCTCATATTCTAGTTCTCAACATACTAAAAGTCATAGGGAGAAATAATATTTCTCAAATAATCAACATGCTGTGTCCAATGTCCTGCAGTGGTAAGGACATATCAGGTTTCCTTTTTTAAAAAAAAATAAAACTAATTACAGCTTTATTTTTTAATTTAATTTAATTTAAATTTATTTTTTTAAATTTTTATTGTTTTTAAAGATTTATTTATTTATGCATACAAGAGCTGGGGTACAGGCCAGAGATGTGAGGGGTGGGAGGATCCACCAAAGACAGAGTGGGGAACAGAACGGTCAGACTGACTGAAATACACTGCTCAGGGGAGCAGCGGGCAAGACAGGAGAGGTCTACCTCACCATGTGGGTTTCTCCCTGGCCAGCTAAGGATCGAACTCATGCTGCAGAGGCTGTGGACTGCTTCATAGTGAGGTGCTTAACCTCTTGCACCACCAGGGAGGCCCAATTTATTATTTTTTTAAATGAAGTACCACTGTTTTACATCCTTGTTAATTTTTTGACAGCACAGGATTTCTCCTCTCAGGTGTGGTCACCGTAGCTCTCCCACCACAGTCCTCACCATGGTCTACTGTGCTTGCCCCTCCTCCTGTCCTCAGACCTCCCTACCCTTTCCCCTCCTGGATGCCTCAGATCTAAGGTCAGCTTTATAGGGTTGGTAGGTTTCTTTTTTTTTCTCTGAGCAATATGTTGTTCAAAGTCCTAAATAAGTCTTTCATGTCCAGGTTAGAACTTTTTAAAATAAAGAGTTAAAAAAAAAGCAAGCATTTTTATCCCAGACATCCTACATACATACCGGGCCAAGTGAGAAACCCCCCAAAGGCCTGGGTTAAGCCTTTCAGCCATAAAGTCTTTTCCACCAGAGTATCAAAGTCCATGAAAGGTCGATTCTGAAGCAGAACAGCAACTGTTAGGGCCCATGGACTCAGAACCAGGTTCTGAATCTGTAATAGCTGCATTTTGTAGGCGACTTCAGTGACAAAGGCATGCATGTCTTCTGACTGTTTCTGAGGAATGTATCTAAAAGAAAGAGTATGGAACAACAAATTACAGTTCTACCTCGACAAATAGAGAGGGGAAAGGAAGACAGACCCTTTAGAAAGTTTCTTGTACTTTTGGTCACTGCAGGTCACATTTGCTTTACTATATTGTAATCTGTCCATTCTCTAGGGTATAATCTTGACTGGTGACAAAATATTTTCAAGGGAATAGTATCTTATTATTTCTTGCTGCATGAAAAAAAACTTTTCCTGGGCTCCCTGATGGCCTAGGGGGTAAGTCTCAGTACTATCACTAGTACAGCCTGAGATTGATCCCTGGCCAGGGAGCTAACCCATATATGGCACAGTAGACGGCTCCTGTCTTGCCCACTGCTCACCTTAGCAGTGCATTTCAGTGAATCTGACTGTTCTTCCCCCACTCTTTCTCTGGTGAATCCTCTTACCCCCTCATACCCTTGGCCTACACCCTGCTCTTCTACGCATAAATAAATAAATAAATAAATAAATAAATCTTTAAAAAACAAAACTTTTCCTGTTTTGTAAATGGGAAAACTATTACTTCTTCTGTGAAAATGATGCCTCCCCTAGTACATTGAACTACTCTGTCTTCTAAGTACTCAGGAGTACTTTGAACGTTTCTATAACTGCTCATGTCTGCCCTGGATTGGCCGTCCACTTTAACTGCTAAATTAGCTGCAGGGCATCTGCCAAGGACTGCACAGTCTTCCCTGCACCATTGACATCAGCAACCTATCAATACATAGAGCTGGCTGAAGCAGGGATATGTATATAGCCTAAAACAGTCACCTAATAAGGTGGTTTGACGTGAAAGTTGCAGTCAGTAAGAGTGCCTTATATTAAATAACAATTTGCCGACCCAGTTTGAGACTCATAGAAAAAAAGGTCTGTGGCAGCAAAAAGCTAACACCTGCTTTTGACAGTTAGTGAAGTTGTTAGCAAGACATGCTCGCTGCTCTGTGGCTATTGATGCCACAGATAAATTAGTGAATGATGCTGCAGTTATGTGAGATCTGCTGGGCAGGTGGTTTCTGTTTCTCTAAATTAAGTTGTATGTCTCTAAATTAAGAAAACCCTAAAGTGTTTCTGTACCTTCATCCTAAAAGAATCTAATGCATTTCCTTGACCATAAAACTATAACCTTCTTGGATATAAGGACTCATTCCCATTAGTATTATACAATCCTTCCGACAATTGAAAACAATACTTAGTTTACACTTTGGCTGGCCTACTAGTTCTTAACACTTCCCATACAGGCACTTGTTAATAATTATATACTTGCAAATTAGTGAGGGTCCTGGCTCCCCTGATGAGAATAAGCACTGCCTGACTTTACATATTTGATATCTATATCTTGCAGCTAATTGTTTTATTTTTTTTTTGGCCAACATATAATTCTTTAATTGACGCTTTCTGCTTCCCTAATATGTGAACTCAGAAAAGTTTCAGTTCTAGAAGAGGTCAACTCAAGAATCACAACTTATACTTTCAGACTTTCACCCATGTTGCAGTGTCAGTTATGAAAACACAGGCCTTGCACCTGGGAACCAGGTTATATGGACTTCGAATCATCCTCCCAGCTGCCAGAGATCGAAGTGACACAGGGTCTCCGAAGTAAACATGGACGTTTCCAAAATTTTCAGAGAGAATCCTCCTGGCTTTCAACAGTCCCTAAGAGTATCACAACAGGGGAAGGAAAAAACAAAAAGTAAATTCAGAATCAGTTGATATACAAACTAGCATTTTCTCTAAATTCCAATAAAATTGTGCTTGGCTGTTGTTTACATACAGTTGTAGATTCTTTTGGCTTAGGAACCCCGAGGAGCTCATAAGCATAAAGAGTTTCTTCCAATATCTTGTCATAACTGATGCTAATTGGAACAAGGTAGGTATCAAAGACTTCTCTTTTAAAAAATGGGTCCATCACAATATTCAGAAGACCTATAAACATAGAGAGAAATGGTTTTTCATACATATGGATGAGTAGAGCGAGCAAGGGTACATAAACAGGAAAATACTAAAAGGGTATACTATATATACTAAGTTCATAAATTTAAGCAGTTAAAGAAACAGTGACACTAATAAAGGAAAGAATACCTTCCAAAATACAAGTGTCAAGTTCTGTTTAGCAGATGACACCATATCTGAAGCCTTCGGGCTTGCATATTTCCTTCCATTTGTAAGGGACCTACCTAATTTAGGAGTCAATGTCTTGGCTGAGCGGCTTCTTGTCCCTTCGAGGAAAAATTCAACAGGAGCATAACCATTCTTCAAAGAGAAAACACAAACAAACAAAAAACAAAACACAAAACCCATTGCCTACTCTCTAAGTATAAAAGCTTCTTTTGATTCCTTTTCCCGAGCTCCCTCCCCAGCCCTCTGAACAAACACTCCTCACAGTGAAACTTAAACAAGAGAGAGTAAACAGATTGCTGAGGTTAAACATATTTCCTTGAGGGGAAGATAGCTAAGTGGTCCAGCAGGAGGTAAGAGTTTTAAGAGTTTAAATAAGTTCTGACAGCAAACTTCAGCGATAAGGAAATACAGCTTGAAAGAACTTGGTACCCATGTGTATTTACCCGTAACATAGTTTTTACGTATTCAGAAAACACAGCCCAGTAGAGTCTATTGCCGCCAAAGGTACGCCGCATGAAAAAGGCGCCCGACATCCGCAACAGCTCGCCAATCATTTTCATTCCTAGGAAGTCTAAAAAGTAAAGAAAGGGGCTAATATTTATTTGTATATCTTAAACAAAATTTCTATAAAGATCTAAACTGAAACTCTATAATGAGAGATTTCACATTAGATACTCCTACAACATTTTTTCTGAGATTTATCGCAAGAAGTGACATTAATAAAGTTCAGAAAAGATGGGGCTCTGTGAGTAGGTGCTCACTGAGAGGTTATCTTGCAAGCCCCCAATCTGACCCTCAGTACTTTTGAGATTACAGCCAGACCAGCTGGAAACAGGGTGACTGAAGCTTAACAACGTCATCCTGTCCATTTCTTTAGTCAGCATTACTGCTGACTGGAACAACAGACAACATGTATTCTTCATGCTCTGGAGAGCTAGGTCAAATCAACTCTGCCCTTTCTCTTTTTAGCCATCTGTTAAAAATATCAACCTTATTTCAGTGGTACAGATTAAATAAAGCAAATCCAGAATAAAAGAATTCTATCATGTTTTAAAAATTTCCCTAATTTTCATATAACTTCCTCACATATTGATACAGATGAAATGCTGTTAAAGTGTTTAAATCCCTAACAGTTTTTATTGTTTACTGCATTTATTAACAAAGGTATATGCCTGAATCCCAGCTTTCCCACCTACCATAAAAGGGAGATGATAAATAATTTATTTGCTTTAGCAATCCAACAGAAATAAAAGCAATGATACAAAAATATATTGTGAAATTATCAGTAACAGTAAAATCACTAAATTATGTCTACTCTGATGAATATTATAGTTATTAAAAATACTAGGCATGAAGTTGAATCCTTATTATATACCCTAAATGAAAGCCCTAAAATTATAAAACTCAAGAAGATTTGAACAGCTATTTCTCTGAAGAAGCTATAGAAAGGGCCAACAAGTATATAAAAAGATGCTCAATATCACTGATCATGAGGGAAATGTAAATCAAAATCACGAATGATAGCACTTTACACCCATTAGAATAATTATTATAAAAAACCAAACAGTGAATAACAAGCATTGGTGACAATGGGGAGAAACTTGAACCCTTGTGCACTGTTGGTAGCATGTAAAATGGTTCAGTCACTATGGCAAACAACATGGTGGTTCCTCAAAAATCAAATTTACCACATGGTAATTCTACTTCTTGGGTGTATATCCAGAAAAATTGAAAGCAGAGACTCGAACAGGTATTTGTATACCTATACTCATAGCAGCACTATTCACAATAGCCAAAAAGTGGAAGCAGTCCAACCGTCCACTGACAGATGAATGGATACACAAAACATGGGATAGTCATGCATCACTTCACATCATTTCAGTCAATAAGGAGAATTGCATATTCAACAGTGGTCCTGAAAGCCTGACTACACAGCTCGGTGTGCAGGAGACTATGTCACTGAGGTTTGTGTAATTATACTCTGTGAGGTTTGCACAGTGGGAAAACTGCCTAACGATACATTTCTCAGAATGTATCTCTCATTGGGCCTCCCTGGTGGTGCAAAGGGTTATGTCTCAGCACTATGAGCTATCAGCAGCCACTGCAGCAAGAGTTTGATCCCAGGCCAGGGAGCTAACCCACATAGCACAGCAGACCTCTCCTGTCTCGCCCGCTGCTCCCCTCAGCAGTGTATTTCAGTACATCTGCCTGTTCTGCTCCCCACTCTGTCTCTGGTGAATCCTCTCACCCCACCACACCTCTGGTCTGTACCCCAGCTCTTGTATGCATAAAAAATAATAAAAAATAAAATTAAAAAAATAGGAGAAATACTGTATTTTTCTACTTATCTGAGATTATCTAGAGTAATCAAAGCCAAAGAGGTAGAATGGTGGTTGCCAGGGCTCTGGGTAAAATAGATTGAGGAGTTAGTATTTAATTGGGACAGAATTTCAGTTTTGTAAGATGAAGACTTCTGTGGACAGATACAGTGATGGTGATACAACAATGTGAATAGATTGAATTTCATTGTACTATACATTTAAAAATGGTTAAGATAATAAATTTTATGTTTTATATATTTTATCACAATTAAAAAATATGTAAAAGAAAAGATCTATTTATTGAGCTACAGAGAAAGCCATTGACATATCAGCAAATAGAAAACACAAAGACAGATGATACATATAGGTAGCAAAATCTCATTTTTCAAACTTAAAACACAACCCCTAAGTGCATAGATGCTTGTTTACGTTACTTTAGGCATAATAAAGCATAGCACAGAACATAACCAAACACCTGGATAAGAAGGAAGAAGAGGGAGGCTGTTTTCATCATATTCTTTAAATACCTCAGTATTGTTAAATCATTGTTAAAACCAAGGAACATTTTAATTTTTATAATTAAAACAAAGAAAAACAATACATACCCATTCCTGCTGCTATGACTGGTACAGGTAAATCATAATTGTATAAAAGAAAAGACAACATCAGAAAGTCAATGTAACTTCGATGACTAGGCAGCAGAACAACTGGATGCTCCTGGATGGCTCGTTGTAGCTTTAAAACAAACATTACACTTTGAATAACCTCAGTTTTCATTTTATTAAAATTATATCTCAAATCAGAAAATGGAAGAATGTGTGTATAGAGGCGTACTAAAAATGTTTTCCTGCCTCTCCTATTATGTTCATAAAACAAATTTCAGAGTACTACACTTAAATAATCTCACATAAGGCAAGAACATTTAAAAAATGTAATTTTCATCATAATAATAGTAATGATCAATAACAGATTAGTTGGGCACCATATTAAGCATTTTGCACTCATTGTTTGATAGCACTATGGTCAAGCACCTAATAAATGGAGATTGGAGTGGAACTAAAGTCATCTGAATTAAGAGTAAAGCTTCTGTTAAGGAGATTAAAAAAAAAATCTGTGAGTTGTTAGGACAAGTGAGAGGTGTGGTATTTTTCTGTTTATACACTGGACTCACTGCCAGGGAAAATGGGTGCCATGGAGTCTGGAGAAATGCATTTGAACTTCCAGATATATTCCTCAGGCTACCAGCCTCAAAAATACTGGAATATCAATCTATTATCTCTCTTTTTCTGAAAGCTAAATATACCTAATGAGGTAAGGCAATTTATATCAGTAAAGCCACGGTCAGTTGACTCTCCTAGGCCCTAAACACTGTACCAAACATTCTTCGATAGAAATCTAGAGACTAAGTCAACAATCTAAAAAACTGTCATAGGAAGAAAAAGGAGAAATACTTGAAAATAAAGTAACTGACTGGATAAAAACAAACATTAAAAGGAATGCGGTAGAAAGCCGAAAAAGGTAAGAACTTCCTAGGAAGAGAAAAAAAGTATTAAAAGACATAAATGAATATCAAAACAATATTCACAGCGAAAGTTCTTTCTTACAGAAAAAAAAAATCAAGCTATCAAATAGAAATTAGAAATATCACCATTTGGGAATTATTAGAATAATATCTGATTCAAGTAAAAATCACCGGGGGATAAAAAAATGAGTAAGATGCAAAACTGGACACTTAACTCACTCTTAAAGTAGTTCTCCACAGGTAGCTATTAATGACAAAGGGAAAACCAGGCACATTACCGTGGAGAAAGCTGGCCAACACCACCTTAACCAAATGATGAAAGGGAACATGACCGGAAACTGGAGGAACACATAGCAGGTGACCTCTGATCTGATGCCCTGAGGAGGACACGATGTGGCTCCTGAGGCACTACTAGAATCTAGTCATGAGAAAACGTGAAACCCAAATCAAGGGACAATATAAAATGACTGGTCTGTTCTCTTCAAAACTGAAACCATAAAACACAAAGACTGGGGAACTGTTTTAGATTGAGAGTCTAAAGAAATAACAGAAGCTGAATATACATATGATGTAGAATTTTCTTGTATTATGCTAGCTATAACTGGGACAATTGGTGAAATATGAATAAGGTCTGTATTATTAGTATTCCATCAATGTCATTTGTCTATTTCAATAATTACACTATAAGAGAAGAAACACACCTTTGAGGAAGGGAACAAGGAGAGCTATAGGGAGATCTAGGTGGATCAGAAATTCTTTATTACTTCAATAACTTTGTGAACATCTGACATTAGATTAGTCTGTAAATCTTAGATGTCTAAAGTTAAGTTAGTCTAAAGACTGTAGGTTAAAGGGAAAAGGTGAAAAAACAGCACCCTCCAGAGAGGCAGTGCCTCTTCTGCCCAGATGGATTGCCTGATTGACAAGGGCATGCTTGTTTCCTGTGCAATGAGATGTCTTTGAACTGACTAAATAGTGAAGGGTTTAAGAAGAGGATTGTTTTGTAACAAGCAATACTTACTTTCTGAATACCTTCTTCGTTGACACACACTTTTGAGAAAATCTGCTTAAATATTTTGCTCAGGGCAAAGGCAAAAACCCGGATGACTCCTACACGTAGCTTGTGGCTCATTTCATCCAAGATCTCACAAACCTCCTCTCGGAGGCAATCAACGGTTTGGAGGGATTCCTTGGAAAGCTAAAAGGAAAGGGAAAGCAGGGGAAAATGTCTGAAATAAAGAAGCCAGAACTCTTTTTACTCAAGCCAGTGTGACTAATTCCAAATAGGCCAAAACTATATAAACCAAAAATGATAAATTTTCTTAGCTTAAATGGAAATAATTTATTTTCCAATATAACAAAAGTAGATAAATGATCTTATTTAGACAAGTTTAAAGACTAAGAAAACAACTCACCTTTCCTTTTGATTTGTTAATAAGCGTCCCCCTAATTCTCTAAAATTAACTGTTGCTCCTGATCTAGTGTCCTAAAACATATATTTTAGTAGTTTCTCTCAGTAGATTGTTGCAGCACTTCATCTACTTGCTGAATGCTATTACAAGGTAATGTACAAGATTATGTTGAAATAACTATTGAGACTATGTGAAACTACATGGGCCACTGGTACAAAAATCCCCAAACTACCAAAGGATAATTAATGAAATTATTGATCTCACAATGGAACTCTCTTTATAACTATGTCATGCCACATCTTTTTGTAAAGAGAACAAAATATTGGCTGTGTGGTAGGACTGTTAAAAGCCTGGAGATGAACAAGTCATAGCTTCTATTCTCAAGGAAGCTTAATAGATCCTTTAACATCTCCCTAAACAAGCACTATGAAAAAAGTGAAGTGTAAGAGATAAATAATATTTATCCTTTCCAAAGGAGAATGCTCTGCGTTAGGATGAGGCACAGAGGATTGAATGATGGGAGACTAAGTCCCAGATTCCCCAAGTAAAAGTTGAAGTGAAATTAACATAAAACTAGCCATCTTAAAGTAACAATTCAGTAACTTTATAAACAATTCAGCATTGAGAACATTCACAAATGTGTAATCATGCTTTTCTCAGCTCCATATCTTATCTTACTAAGAGCTTCATTCAATTGGCTCAAGAGTGTGGAACTAGGATAAACTGATTTCTCTTAATCAGTATTCCTTTATTTTACTCAGTGATATATAGCAAGAAAGGTCTAGTAATCTGGCCAGAAGAAAATGGACATAAATGGACTTAGACTTAATGAACAGGAGGTGAGGAAGTAAAAACAGTGCCCATAAATGAGTAACTAAAATGTGTGATTGAGGAGAAGAGGGAGAGTAACAGTTAAAGCAAAAATGTTTTCCTAAGTTGGAAAGGCCTTGGCCCTATTTTTTTTTTTAACTATCTCATTAAAAAAAATATGATCAAATACAGGCACAGCAGTTGAGCGCCAGGCTGCGAAGCTGCCGGCAGCCTCTGCAGCACTGGTTCAATCCTGGGTCACCGGCGAGGGTCTCACACGGATGGCAGAACCTCTCCTGCAGCGCCCGCTGCTCCCCTCAGCAGTGTATTTCGTCAGTCTGCCTGTTCTGCTCCCCGCTCTGGCTCTGGTGAATTCTCTCACCCTCCCCCGCTTCTGACTGTACCCAGTGCTTGTATAAATAAATAAATAAATCTTTAAAATAAAATTATGATGAAATACAAAATTTTAACAATTTTTAAATGCACGTTCAGTGGCCATAAATCTATTTATACATAAAAGGAAGAAGTCAAGTGAGAAGTCTGAAGACACAGAAAAGGGAGAGAATGCCCACCAGAAGGAAAGCAAATCTGCACCCTCAGAAGAGGGTGAAAGGGGTGGTATCGCAACAGGATGTGACCCCCACCTTGACCAGGAGAATAGATGCTTTGTCTCTCTCTTACCCTAGACGACAGAGCACACATGGAGATGGTTATTGATATATATACATTTGAAGAGTAGGAGCAGGAATTTGAGGAAGATAATTTCTAAAACTTTTCATTATCCCAAAGGAAAATATAGATTGCTCACTAGCAGCAAGAGAGCTAGGGTATATAAGAGCTTACGGCAGCATGAAGGTTTGGCAGCACTGCAGGGAAGGGAAGCACAGGCAGCATTAGAAGAGGGTCTGGGGAAAGGGGGGACCTGAGCTTGAGGCGCACTGATCTGCACAGCTCTGCCCATTCCCCAAGGCAGTTAGTGACAGGTTGTATGAACAGAGAAAGTGCACTGGCACAGAGCATGGGCTGCTTTTTTTTACTGGGTAGACGGGGGCACAGAGAATTAAGGATGAGGGTGAAATAACTAGTCCGATAATTCTAACAGAATTGGATAGGAAGAGAGAACAGAAGGGCAGAACTAGACAAAAGGAAAATGGAGCAATCAGGGGTTGTGGGAAGGATCGGTTCCAGGAAGCAAGTATAGAAAAGGGAGTACATTTGGAAAATGATCCAAATAGTTCTGGCCAGGAATGGAAAAGGCCCAAATAACAGTGCTAACAGGTGCCGAAGAGAAGAGAAAGGGCAGAACGATGTCTGCTTTTGTTTTGGGCAGCAGAATGGATGATGGAGATAGCCTTTGACATAGGGAATGCAGACCCGAGATAGAGGCAGTGTAGAAAGCAGGGGTTAAGAATAAGAAAGCAGATATACTAATTTCAAGGTATTTGTGGTACATATAAATTAGCTATCCAGCAGGGAACAGGACAGTTGGAGATAAAAGCCTGAATCCTAATAATCTAGCCATGGCTGAAGATAATGACCAGGCATCAATTAGACTACAGATGGAAACTGAAATGGTAAGAATGGTTACAATGGGTAGAAAAGCTGTAGAGAGGAAGATAAGAATGCTAAAGATTCAACACTGAGAAACACGTGGTTGGCAGACGGAAAACCTTAAAAGAGATTCACGAGGAAGGTAAATAAGGTGAACTATAATGTGTAATATCACAGATGTGCAGGTAAAAGAGATCCTGAAGAAGAGTGTGCAACAATAAATGACACAGTAAAGGATGAACTGAAGACTAAAAAGGGTCCCTAGACATCCTTAGTAACCTTTCCTGAATGAATTTTAGCAACTTGCTGAAATTGGGACATGACAGTGACAGTTCTGAGGAGTTGGGGTAGGAAGGGAAAGAGAGAAATGGAGCATTAAGAAGAATATATGGCAAAGAGAAGATTTTCCTCTACATGGAAAAGATTTATGCTAGCTTGAGCCAATGGAGAAGGCTAAAGAGTAGGAAAGACAGTACTTTCTTTGGGGCTTTGTGGCGGTATGAAGAACACAAGTGAACAAATAGGCTGATTTGTTCCAAAGAAAGCCAACCACTCCGAGACTGGAATGAAACAAAAGACTGAACTGACATCTTATCTTGTGCAACTGGGCATCTTATTTGCTCAACAGATATGTCTGTCATTCCAGGTCCCACTTCCTGGAAACCTAAGATAAGATTTAAAAGCTAAGCAAGAATCTAATAACTCCTTGTCCCCAGTCTTAACCCTCTTCAGTCTAAGCTCTACATTACAAATGTGAGTGGTCTCTGAAATGTGAAACTAATGTGGTATCCACATTTTTGGTTTAAGCAACTAGCACATGGAGGGGCCAATCCTGAATAGGGGATGAGTATTTGGTACAGAGCTAGAGATAGAAGTCAAAGAGCTTGATTTAGACATCTTGAATTTGAGATGCTTTTGGAATTTCCAAGTGAATAGTCCAGTGGACATATAAAAATATATGTATTAAACTCAAGCAATCTGGTCTGAAACACTGGATACAAATAGGTTATTTATATTATTATTTGCTTATTATATTTGTGCGCATGCACATAGATAATATATACATATAAAATAATTACATCCTAATATTATAAAAAAATACATCTACATAGGAAGATACTTAAAATACTAACAATAGGGCTTCCCTGGTGGCGCAAGGGGTTAAGACGCAACCTGCAACCTATGAAGCTATCCACAGCCACTGCAGCACGAGTTCGATCCCTGGCCAGGGAGCTACCCACATGGCGCAGCAAACCTCTCCTGACTCGCCCGCTTCTCCCCCTCAAGCAGGGTATTTCAGTCGATCTGCCTGTTCTGCTCCCTACTCTGTCTCTGGTGAATCCTCTCACCTTCCACACCTCTGGCCTGTACCCCCAAAAGGGACAGGTTTCTTGAGAGGCCTGTATAGTCACAGGCGGGCAACCCTGGAAGGAGAGCTGCCTCTGCTGCTTTGAAGAGAAACATCTGCATAAGCACAGGTGGGCAGAATGGCAGTTGCCAAAAGAATAAAGCATGTTAAACGTGGGTGGTAAAGAGTAATAAAGAGGAGCATGTTGAGACATTTAAGGGAATAGACAATAGAGCAAAGTCCCTGAGTAAGCAGGAAGAAGTGGAATCCAGGGCAAAGGCATAAAGTTGGGTTTAAACTCAAACAGGAGAAGGGGATCTCTCTTCCATTTTAATAGGAGGAAAGAAGAAAATGATGGGTATTAGATGCCAGTAAATTAGTAGCTAATCACAGAAGATGATAGAGTGCTCATATAATGGTTTAAGTCTTCCCTGGGAGGAGGGAAGAAAAGTTATCTGTTGAGAGTAGGAGGAGGAGGTTGAGATTAGAGGTTCAAGGAGAATGGGGCTACTGAAACCACCATTTTGGAGAGTGGGAGAGAGTTCACTAGAGAAACAAACCTAACTGGGTTAACACAGAGAACCCATATGTGCTACGCAATTGTGAATTTATCACCATTCTAATCTATCTAGATTATGTGATTTTTCTCAGCCAAGTTTGAGAAACATTGCCTTAAGTAAGCAAACTTAATCTGACTATCTATTAGAATTACATGGGGAATTTTAGGAAAAGAAGGAAAAAAAACAAAAAACTAGAGAAGATGCCTGGGTACGAACCCAGACCAATTAAATCACAACCTCTGTGAACAGGACCAAAACATTTTTTTTTTTTAAAGATTTTATTTATTTATTTATACAAGCACTGGGTACAGTCAGAAACATGGGAGGGTGAGAGAATTCACCATAGCCAGAGCGGAGAGCAGAACAGGCAGACTGACGAAGTAGACTGCTGAGGGGAGCAGCGGGCGGCAGGAGAGGTCTGCATGCCATGTGGGACCCTCGCCCGGCGGCCGGGGATCGAACCTGCACTGCAGAGGCTGTGGGCAGCTTTGCAACCCAGTGCTCAACCGCTGCCCCACCAGGGAGGCCCAGGACCAAAACATTTTTAAAAATTCATTAATTCAAGAAATATTTATTGAATGCATACTATGAATAGATGATAATAATTCTTGCCTTAATGTAATTCATGTACTACTGGATTATAACACAGAACTTTTTGTAATAGTTTTCCAGGTGCTTCTAACAAAGAGCCAGTATTGAGATCTACTATGGAGAGTCTAATTGATAAGGAAACACATACACTTGACTTGAGAAAATTAAGTTCCTCCAAGATTGGTCATGATAGGCAGATCAAAACAAAAAGATTAGGAGCATGGGTCATCTGTCCAGATCAGAAGAAAACAGATAGCAAAAATAAACAATTTTCCTGGGGCAACAAACTGACTAAACTCCAATTAAAGGTCAAAGCAGCAAGATCTCTAAGTAAACCTCAAGGCATGAGAGCACCTGGATATGACATAGAGTCCCAGCCAGCAAGGATGTTCTAATAAGGCCAACGGAATCCCCTTACCTTGAAATCTTCAAGTGACATGTCCAAAACAGAACTTAGCTTCTCTCCCAAACCCATTCCCTGTAATAGCTTCCTATCTTAGTGAATGACTCTATCATCCTCGATTCTCTCTTTTCCTCCACTTCATTCATCCAAATGGTCATTAAACAAGGTCACTCCACCTCTTAAATTCCTTACCAGTCCAGGCAGCTATGATCCCACAAAGGGATAACTGCAAGAGTGTCACAGATTTTCTGCCCCCATGTTTAGCTGTATGGTGCTTCTGAACATAAAATGATAAAGCAACATTCTAATCTACAACAATCTAATCTTCGAAGGTTTTGTACTTTAGATAGGATAGAATCTAATCTTCCATTTGGTTTAAAAATCCTTCATGATGTGGCCCCCCGCTTACTTCTCCAGTCTCAATTCTTATCATTACTCCTCCTCTGTTCTCCTCAGTTTGGTCATATTGAAGTACTTTCAGTACTGTGAATATGCATGTTGTTTTACTCTTAAAATAAGTCAGTGGTTTCCAAACTGCTCTACTTTAGAGTCAACTGGGCATCTTTAAAAACTACTAATAAATAATAAAAAAAATAAATAAAAACTACTAATGCCTGGCTCTTTCCTCCTGAGATTTTGATTTACTTAGTACTGGGGGTGAGAGCAATGCACAGGGATTTTTAAAAGCTCACTGAGTAATCCTAGTGTACAGTAAGGTTTGAAAACCATAGTGAAAAGTGATTTGCTCTGCAAGGAAAACTTTTCTTCATTCACTTTACCTGGAAAGTCTGCGTCTGGCAAAGAGGCTAACATACATTATGGGTATGATAAATATTTGATGAAAGTGATGAATAGAGCTATAGCTAAAAAGAAACATTAAAGATAGCAAAATAAGTTCATAGAATCAAGAGAAGAACTTGTTGACAATGAACAAATGTGGCGCTAGTCAAAGGGGGAATCACTTACCTGTTTGATAACATAATGAACCTCTTCAGAATTGAGAACAGTACATTTAATATCATTTGGCTTACAAGGAATAATGCCCTTATAGAGAAGAGGTGTGTAGCATTTCATTGCAAATTTCAAGTCACTGACATGTCTCCTCTCTTCTAAAATATCTTCAAACTCATCCCACTTTTTGAGCTCCTTCTGTGGATAAGGCAAATGAAAGCAAGTAATGAACTTACTGTAAAGTAACATATATTAGGACAGATTAGATACTACATTAGTAAGGTTTCATCTTTGCCAAAACTTTTATTCTATGACATATGAACAAGAGCAGAGGGTTCTAATGCTAGATTTTCACATCTTAAGAAAATGAAATGTAATGATAATTAGGATCAATAAATTCATATTGAATTATAATATTTTATTGCTATATTTGTGATTGCTATCTTTGTAAAGCCAATACCCTTTCAGGACAATTAACAAAGATAACAAAGATGAGACATTAAGCTATAAAGAACATGATCAATTTTACAAGGCATTAACAATCACATTGATAAACTTGTTTTGTGGGTCCCTTCTACAAAGCTTTAAAAATTAAATCAAAGTATATATTAAAAACCCAAAGTTATGTCAAATTAAATAAAACTATATGGGTACAAAGAAAAGGAAGATTCACTCAAGAAAAATGTGCTCCCTTTAAGCTACTATAGAGCAGTCTATATTTGTTCTAACTGGATTCTTTTTCCAACCCACTGCAATTCAGCTTCTGTCCAACCAGGTCCTAAAACTGCTATCAGTTTCTGAATTGTTAATGTTTCAAAGTTTGTTTTTCTGATTTATAAAAGCAATGGTGGTGACAAGAATTACAGCTAACATGTAAAGCTACTTACACGTAGTAAAGCTACCACATTTAGTAAAGCTACTTACTAATTGTCAGCACTATTCTAATAACTCTACCTATAAAAAGGAATAATCCTCACAATAAACCTGTTGAAGCAGTTATTCTCATTACCTCATTTTCCAATGGGTCACCACAGTACAGAAAGGTGAAATAACTCACCCAAGGTGAGCTGGCAAAGGGTGGAGTCATAGTTCACACTTCAACCTTATGGCTTCACAGAACTTGGCTCTAACCACTATCCTATACTATTCTCATCATGTTAATTAGGGAAAATTTGGAAACATCGAAAAATATGAGTAAATATAAATTGCTTACAATTTCATACCCCAGAAATAATTCTCTTAACATTTACTAGTTTCCTTACTTTTTTTTTGTCACACAGAAATACATCTATTTTTTATTTAAAACAGGGACCATAGCAAATATAGTTTCCTTGTCTTTTCAATTATGAGCATTTCCCTATAATAAATATGTTTTTAAAACAATCACCTTTATGCTCTTTAACTTCTTAAAATAATAATTTTCTAATTACCACAATGATTTATATTCATTATAAAATTTTGGAAGATACAGTAAGAGCACAAAGAAGAAAATTATAATCAGCTGTTTTCCTAGGACCAAGAAACTATTTTAGTAAATCCTTTTTTCTGTGTATGTAGACACATTTCCTTTTTGTTACCAAACATTTTATCACCTGATTTTTTTCATTTAATGTCATATACAGTCCTTCGTGTCTTTTAAGTTGCTTCCATAATGTTATTTTTAATATCTGGTATTTAGATTATTTTTCATTCATTGCTATTATAAAAAAACCACAACAAATACATACATTTAATTTAATTTAAACCCTGACCGCCTTCTAGTTTTCATCATTCTCTATTATGTGACTCCTTTCCCCAGAGTTCCCTCCTTTCCCAACTTTCAACCATCCTGAAATTTTTCCACTTTGGTTTTTAATTCATGACTTTCTTGTCACAGTGGAAAATCCACCTCATTTTTCTAACCTAGTGATTTTCAAGTCTCCCCTCCCCAGAAAAGAACTACAAATGTCTTCTTTCCTTCCACTTACCTCAATATGTCAACATCTTCAACCCTCTTTTCTTCACTACACACAGTAAGCTGAGTACTCTCACCTACCAAACTGGTTTCAAATACTAATTATATGATTCTGAATCTCTTGCCCTGATTTCTTCTCCGATGAGTTCCTGATAGACACATTTAGTTGCAAAAGTTTCACCTTCAGCATTTCCAAAACCGAAGTCATTCATTGCACAATCCTACAACCTGATTAGTTTCCTGAAATCTCAATTAATAGCTGCCATGCCTTCTACATCCCTCTGCATTATTCCAGACCCCTCCTCCCTCACCCTTTACAGTCAATCCATCCAATCATGGCTGGTGTTCAAGAATGTGTCATGTCTATCCTCATTCACACATCCTGTCGGACCCATTAAGTACAATACCCTCCTTGCTGGTCTCTTGCCTGTAATGCCCCCTTTGAGCCCTTCCTCCAAGCTTTTCAAAATACATTTCTTTTTTTTTTTTAAAGATTTATTTATTTATGCATACAAGAACTAGGGTACAGGCCAGAGGTGTGGGGGGTGGTGAGAGGATTCACCAGAGACAGAGCGGGGAACAGAACAGGCAGACTGACTGAAATACACTGCTGAGGGGAGCAGCGGGGAAGACAGGAGAAGTCTGCTGTGCTATGTGGGGAGCTCCCTGGCTGGCCGGGGATGGAACTCGTGCTGCAGAGGCTGTGCATAGCTTCACAGTGCTGTGCTTTAACCCCTTGCACCACCAGGGAGGCCCCTCAATATACATTTCTAACCAAACTGTATCCTGCTTAAAATAAATGACTCTCCACCTCCTTCACAATAAAACATAAGCCACTTCTGGCATCATATGATCTGACCTTTCCTTCCCTCCTCACACTCATTATCCATCATGTTCATAATCTATTCAACAGTGCAAGATTTGCATTTCTGAACACAGTTCATTGTTGACATGCCTCTGGGCCTCTGTACATGTACATCTCACTGCCTGGAAGGCCCTTGTGTTTTTTGCATCCTTGTGCAGGTACCACTCTTCTGTGAAAACTTTCCCTGAGGTCCCCACATGAAATTACTTTGCTTTCCTTATCAAGGACTCCTTTATGTAATAATATATCTATCATGATGTATGTCCCATAACACTGATTGCTTGCATGTTTGTCTCCCTCCTAAAATGCAATTATCTAGAGAACAGGGTAGTTTGTATCATCTTTGTATTTCTAATGTCTAGCCATGAAATATAGCATGTTTGGTCAATAATTGAACAATGGAACAGATTATACAGAGGAGGAGGCAGGGAGGGAGGGAAGAGACAAGTCCTTAGGACGAGAACCCATAAGGGACAGTAGCAGGCATGTATCTTTTGAAAATCTTGCCAAATATGATTATTTATAATCCTTCCATGGTTCTCTGTTATCTGCAGTGTCACATTCATACTACTTACCACATGGCCCTAGGCCCTTCATGATCTCCCCACCACTCACCTCTCAGCTATTTCCCCTTCTTTCAACAGTTCAGTTACACAAAGACCTGAAGTTCCTTAAATAAGCTATGCCTTCTGATGGACTCCTACATCTTTGATAAAGAATTCATGGGCCTCTCTGGTGGCGCAGCGGGTTGAATGCAGCACGGTGTAAATGTCTGCAGCCTCTGCAGCGCCAGTTTGATTCCCGGCCAGCCAAGGAGATTCCCACATGGCGTGGCAGACCTCTCCTGTCATGCCCGCTGTTCCGCTCAGCAGCGCTTTCGGTCTGTCTGCCTGTGCTGCTCCCTACTCTGTCTCTGGTGAATCCTCTCACCTCCCGTGCTTCTGGCCTGTACCCCAGCTATTGTAGAAATAAAAAATAAATCTTAAAAAAAAAAGAATAGCATTTATTACCAAATATCTGAGCATTATTATTATATTTGCCTGGCACTGTGATATGTATTTGGGGATATAACAGGACAAACACAGTCTCTTTTAGGAGTACCATAAGGAGGTGCCCGTTATTAAGACAGGGCATTTACAAATGGCTATTTCCCACTGTTGCCTGCAAAATCCTTAGCCATCAACCACAGCTTCTGTATACCACTTCCTGGTTCTCCCCTTAACTTCACCAAACTGGTCATCTTCTCCTTTGAGCCTGTGAAGACCCACAATACATTTTCACAACAGCAGCTAAAACATTCCATTCAAACCCCTATTTGGTGTCTCCCCTGGCAGACTGTGAACTTCTTGTCTGGGTAGGTAATTGTCCTACATTTTTGTATCTCCAGTCTCTAGTAGGAACTCAATCACTGGTTATAGAATGAAAAAAATAAATTAGTAAAGGAAGTCTTTTCTTGAACTCTGGTTCAAGATGATGGTTTGTTTCCAAATATTTACAGGCTAAAGCTCAAAATTCTCCCAATCTGACCCTTCCCCAACATGTAATCCAATAGTTTTTAACCCATGAAACACATGAAAATAATCACGTTTAACACATGAAAATAATCTAGGACAGTTAAAAAAAATACACTGATGGCCAGGCTTTCCTTAGAGCTTCTTGATTATTTTGGTCTATGAGTGGTATCTCAGTATCAGATTTTTAAAAATACTCCAAGTAATCCCTACATGCAGCCAGGGTTGAGTGTGACTGTTCACTAAATGGTCTTCTCAATACCATGCTGGAGAAGTACGTACTGTCATAAAATATATTTATGCCTACTCACCCAGGAACACAGTATCAAGAGGACTACATGTAAGAAGTTTTAGATGACGTTTGCCTCCCATTGTTTGCTTTCCCTGTCTGAATTTGTAGAGCAGGCTTCTCCTTATTGACAGCTAAATGGGCCTCCCTTTGTACCTCTCTTTCAACTGCTCTGGGGGGATCCATTCATTCAAAAGATAGTTACTGAGAGCCCACGTATCAGGCACTGTGAAAATACTGCATGACAAAGACAAACAAGAAATGTGCACTGAGGGAGCTTCCATTCCCTTAAGGAAAGACAGACAACAAACAACCAAGGCAAGTTTATTCAGGGATACCGCTAGCAGCATCTCGATACATTTAACGATAGGAGAGTCCTGATTACAGTGTTTGCTAATTTCTGTGGTATCTACAGTCCCACGAAGGCAAGTTTTCAGCCTCCAATACAACCTCACTGAACATGAAATTAGGGTGAGACAGACAGTACCCAACGTTAGATAGGATTTCTGCTTACAGTGTGATAGACATAAGTAAGCTCAAGAATATAGAGAATAGGGTCTCCCTGGTAGCACAGGGGTTAAATTCTCAGCGTTATCAAGGTATTGCAAGCCACTGCGGCCTGAGTTCACCTGTTGCTCCTCTTAGCAGTGGATTTCAGTAGATCCACCTGTTCTGCTCCCCACTGTATCTCTGGTAAATCCTCTCACCTGCCTGCACCTCTGGCCTACACCCCAGTTCTTGTATGCATAAATATATAAAAATAAATCTTTCTAAAAAAAAAGGAATATAGAGAATAGTAAAATTTAGTAAAATAACTAGAAAGTGTTGAGTTTTAATACTTTTTGCTTTTAACATAATTTTTTAAATTGTAAGTTTATATAACTTAATTTTCAAAAATGGCTGTTGTAACAACACACTTGCAAACTTCATGAAAATTTAACAAGCAGCTGTAAGAGTTAGTGCAGGGGCCTCCCTGGTGGTGCAAGGGGTTAAGTCACAGTACTACGAAACTATCCCCAGTCACTGAGCCTGAGTTCAATCGCCCTACTGAGCCTGAGTTCAATTGCCCTGGGCAGGGTGATTAAACAGCGTTAACACATATGGTGCAGCAGACCTCTCCTGTCTCGCCCACTGCTCCTCTCTGCAGTGTATTTCAGTAGATCTGCCTGTTTTGCTCCCCACTCTGTCTCTGGAAAGTCCTATTATGCCACCCCCTCCCCCGCATCTCTGGCCTACACACCAGCTCTTGTATGCCTAAATAAATAAATCTTTTAAAAAAAAAATAAAAGAGTGCAAGGCTACTGTAACACAACACTGGAAAATTGGACCAAGTGATGAAAAGTGATTGGAGAGCTGCTCAGACTGGTTGGGGAAGGTCCCTTTGAGGAGGTGAATGTCCCCATGTGTGGCATGCTATGTCTTCTCAGAACTCTGCACTGCCAGCTTTTTCTATTATTGAGGTCCCAGCTTCAACGGAACTAAAGTTCTGAGGAATCACAGTATATCATACATGGGGGATTGTGAGCACTCTGGGAGACAGCATGCCTACTGTGTGAAAAATAGAAGAGCAGTGAGGGTGAGGCCTAGTAAGCAAGACTAAAATCAGAGGTAATAATCGCCTGACTATGTAGAGGCTTAAAGGCTATTGTAAAGAGTCCAGGTTTTTCATTCAGATTGCAGCAGTCAGTCATAATTTGGGTTATGGGTACCAGGGTTTACCCAGCTCCATTCCATGATTTCATTTAAAGATTTCAACCAGATCTATGGCATCAGATTCAATCTACCTGTGGATGCCTGCCAAATCTATATATTTAGGTCAGACCTTCCTCTTCTGCTCTGTTTCCCTGTTTCTCTGTTTGGATTTCTCCCAAACACCTTGTGATATACCTGACCCATAACATATTTTAAGAGTTAAAGTCATATATTTTGCCACTGACATCTCAAAATGACCGCCTATAAACTGAAATTGTATTACCCTGACTGAGCCTGCTTCTCTTTCCATATTTCTTATCAGTGAAAGGCCTCACATTATCCACCATAAAACAAAAACCAGGAGTCAAATTCAGACTGTCTCTTTTTCCTTAATCACCATACTCCACTGCCCTAAATATTACACAAATGCACCAGCTCTGCTCTTTCCAGACCCACTATAATTTTTTTCTTCATTCCCTCTCTAAATTACCATAACAGGGCTCTTATCTACATGTTATAGCAACAGATTTCTCCCCTAATCAGATTTTCTTTCTATAGTATCCACTCAAATAAAAGAGGTTATCCACACAAATAACCATGCTAGTGGCCTCAGATTTTCAAAAATACAAATTTGATGATACTAAAATGGTCTTTTATAAAACATTTGTTCTTAAAGGTGTGCAAGCATAACATTTGAAATCCTTTAGGAAATATCCTCTGCCTGCTTCCTTAGTTTTGACCCTCATGTCCTCCTTATTCTACCTATTTGGTTCCCCCAAATATGCCAGGGAGTAGTTTTCTTATATCATGCCTAGTACAAAAACTCAGCTAAGGTGTCACCTTCCCTAAGAAGCCTTTGCTGAGTCCCCAAACAGGTCAGGTGCTCCTTCTCATTACTCCCACACTGTCTTTTTCTCACTTAATTGTGATTATTTATTTTCATGACTTCCTTTGAAATCCCTGAAGGCAAGGGCTGGATTTTTAACAGTGAGAATAATGATTAGGACCCTGTAAGTTTCCATTGCTGCAATGTTTGTTGCAATCAGCAATATCTTAAATATACTCATATTAGATTGAGTACTGCACAGTAACAGTATAACTGAAGAAATAAATAAGGACAGCCTAAAAAAATAAGAAAAAGCTTAGGCTATTATGAAAGTAAAGAGACAAGATAATGAGGGCTGCTGTCCAACTTCAGAAGCAGAAAAATATCACCAACAACTGCCTTAGCCTTTCATTTTAAAAAGTTGACAAGTCTCATGATTAAAGAATCATTGGTGAATGGGGAAGTAAAAAAAAAAAAAAAAAAGAGGAGGGCCTCCCGTGGCGCAGTGGTTTGAGTACAGCACTGTAAAGCTGTCTGCAGCCTCTGCAGCGCAGGTTAGATTCCTGGCGGGCCAAGGAGATTCTCACAGGGCGCAGCAGACCTCTCCTGTCTCGCCCACTGCTCCCCTCAGCAGTGTATTTCAGTCAATCTGCCTGTTCTGCTCCCCACTCTGTCTCTGGTGAATCCTCTCACCCTACCGCGCCTCTGGCCTGTACCCCAGCTATTGTATAAATTTAAAAAATAAATAAATCTTTAAAAAAAAAGGGGAAAAAAACACATTCAACTCTTTAATACGCAAGTGGAAAACTGCAGCCAGTCCACACACCACTTTAGGGCTTGGAAAAGCTGCCTAAAGTGAGTCAGATGTCCACTGCAACCCTCTTCCCTATTTGCCTGCCCTAGAGTAGCAGAGTCAGAAAATGAGTTTTTACTCCTACCTGAGAACTGTAGGATAAAAAGATGTCCAGGAGAGAGGTTAAAATGAGGTGACATGGCTTAGAAAAGTGGGCAGTTAACAGCAGTTATAAGTCCGGAGTGCTCCATAGCAAGAGAGCAGAAATTTCCATTTCTAACCTATACTGAAGGTAGCCACAGATACACACATGTATGTCTTCTGAGACTGGGTTTTTCGTTTATCTTGCTTTTAAAACGTGTTTTACCTGTTACGACCTTCCTACAAAATTAACATATTTAAGCTAGATACTGACACTAACGAAGTATAACAGAACTTGGTTAACATGGCTTTAGAATATTCTTTTATTTCCTTCTAAAGTAGATAAAAATTAATTTAACAGCTAAAAAAAAAAATCAGTTACTCAGGGATTGTGCAAACCTGTTACAAACTTTCTCCCTTATAATTTCTTCATAAAAATGGTGAGTAAGACACATTTTGTTAGCAGAATAATAATGGTTAAAATCCAGGCGAGAGAGGGTGGTAAGGTAAGCTGGAGAGAGGTTGGGTGGCATTAATTGTCTCCAAAATAGCTTATGGGAAAAATATAATGACGGATGGAAGGCAAAATCCCAGAAATTCCAAATCTTCCTCGATTAAAAAATAAGTCTTAAAAACTCTACTTCTACATACAAGCCAAATACTTTTCTCCCAAGAATATCACAGCAGCAAAAGGGCGGAGCGGGGAGTCACAGGTTATCTCTGGCAGGGTTAGACCTGCAGGTTTCTCAGGTTTGCCCAAAAGGATACGCCCTCCTTTTAGATGGGGACACACCGATTCTCACCCCTCAATCCTATGTCAGGGCCTTTCCGAAGGCCCAGCGCCTCATGGAAAGAAAGAGAAAGGGACAAGTGGAAAGGTACCAGGAGAACCATCACCGGTAGAAACTTGTAAAAGCTTACACACAGACACCCATTCAGCGATACACCGTTGCCTTGGAAACAAGTCAACCACCTACCCCCTCCTCCGCGGCCTCAGATCCCAGTCTTTAAACTCTGGGTCGTGGCCCGCAGGAAGCCGGGACCCGGAGAAAGGGGTCCTCTCTCGCGGCCCCGCCCCGGGCCTCGTTCCCCCGGGCGCCTACCGAGTACGGGAGCACGACAGCGCCGGGACTAGTGGAGCCGATGGAGAAACGAGGGTTAGATGAACTGCAAGAATCCATGGTGCAGCAGCCGTCCCGGGCGGGGTCTGGGGATTCTGCTCTAAGCCGTGGTGGTGGTGGTGCTGGGGGCGGTTCTTTGGCGCGGGGCGGCCCGACCTCGCCTAGGGCGGTGGCACCCTCTGCGGCCGCACCAGAGGACCCCGGGCGCCGCCATCTTAATCGGGACGGAAGCCGCGCGGAGACCTGCGGCGCGCGCGCAGCCCGTCGGAACCCGGAAGCCTGGGCCCCGCGGGGCTGGGGTTCTGGCTGTGTGTGCCCTGGTTCTGCGGTGGCAGACCCCGTCATGGCGCAGGAGCCGGGAGAGGGGGCCTCTGCGCCTCCGGGTTCTCAGGCGCTCCTGGACACCCTGCTCCAGAACCTCTACGACTTTGGTGAGTGCGGTGCGTCGGAGCCCACGTGGAGAGAGGACTGGAGGCGCCGAGGGTCTACTGCGCCTGCGGAACTCTTCGGCCTTCCCCTTTCAGGCTCAAGGTTCTTGCTCGTCTAGCGCCCCTCAGCTTCTCGGACCTGGTTCTGATATTGGGCCGAGCACACGCCTGATATCACCCTTCTCCCGCCCCCACGGTCGGGCTCTCTTGAGTTACCCTTGTAGGATCAAATCTGGGGACTGGTCCCTGGTGCAGGGACCAATCTAGGTGCTTGTCGGAAGCATCAGGGCTTTCAGAGTTAACGGGGGTGATGCACTCGGGACTCTGGAAAGAACCACCTTCCCTGCCACCCCCAACCCCTGGACCTTAAGGAAGGCCCCCCCCCCTCCAGTCCACTCCGGATACACTCCTGACCCTGGTGCGAGGGTGCCACCTTGTTACGTTGGGGCCTCATCCTTCGCTGCCCCTCGCCAAAGACTTCAGAGGACGTTTTCACATGAAGCTTTTCCCAAAAATCTTTCTTCCAAAAGTTGCCGACTTAGGCTCTTCCTCCTTTATCTTCACTGGGAAAAAGGGATTAAAAAAGCTTATCCTTAAAGATTGGCATCGGACTGGTATTTCAGTAGGCAGACAGTTTTACACACTCTGCAGAACTTGCCCCAGGTAAAGTCATATCCTTTGTTCTTGCATCAAAGATAATCTCATGGCCTGAAGGATTAAACATGTTACCTATGAAGCATGATGTTGCAAAGGTATTTTATTTTGGAGCCATTGCTTAAACTTCTAGGCTCACTTAAACAATAAAAATAATATTTAGACTTTACCATATACCAAGTATGGTATACCATATACCATACTTGTCGTGTATTTACTCATTTAATATTCACAACAACCCTATATAATAAATAGTGCCATTAACCCCATTATTCCAAATGTAGAAACAAGAACTGGAGGTCAAAAACTTGCTGAAATTTAGTAATTTTCAGAGCCCGAGTTCCAATTTTCATAGTGTTTAGCTCCATTCCCTTCACTTATATTGACTTGTACTATAGACAGAGCATCTCTGTACCCTTGGAAGTATTGGAGAACAGAAAACTTAGTCTCTGGTCTTCAAAAGTTTAAAATCTAGGGGAAAAGACTATTCAAAATCCTAAATATAGTTTATGTCAACACAGGCTGGAAATTATGCTAGGAGCTCAGAAGGCATGAACTGGATTTACTCATTTTTAATATTCCCTAATGCCAAAGTTTAAGCAACTTAATGTGTATTTTTCTTAACATGTATTCATTGAATAAAAGGCAGAGCAAATAAAAGCTATTATAAACAGATGATACTTAGAGAACTCTGATATTCGTATAGTGGATGATTAATTAGGGTTACTTAGAATTCTTGTTAGAACCTTCAGAAGACTGGTCAGTTTTAACAGGTGAAACAGGAGATATGGGGATTTAATAGAAAATAAAGACATTCAAATTAAGTCAGTTGTCTTAGGCTCATCTTAATTCATGTCTGAAATAAAATAGTAAGACCATAGTAAAATAGTAAGACCATCATAGAATGTGTTAGAAAAAGGCACTGACTGCAGTGTCGGAACATTTTTAGTATAAAGCATAAGCCAACTGGGATTACCTGTCCCTGAAGCTCTTGCCATAACATTTCTTGTTTGGACATAGGAAAATGTCTTTGAATTTTAGATTCAGAAAATTGTACAAATATAATCCTATTTGAAGAAAAACCAATCTTTTTCTTTGTATCTGGGTGTTTGTAGCATATGTACAAGTGCAAGTACAAGTGATTGGATATTGGTGATAGCTAAGATTTAAGATATTTATTTTTCCTTTCTGGATTTAAACAAACAGGAGAAACAGAAGATGAGACCGAACAGAAAAGGATTAGAAAGAAAAGAGAAAACAAGAAGAGAGATGTAGGGACCCCAGCGACCTTGGTGGCAGAAACAACTCCCCCATCTGGAACTCTTGTAAGAGGCCAGAGGAAGCATGCTTCCAGCTTCTTCAAGGAACTCAAAGAGGAGCTGCAGTGTGCTCCTGCTGCTGAAACCCCCGCTGACTTCCTTTCAGGATCTGCAGGCCCTGGTGTCGAAGCATCTTCCTCTCCCCTGAAGAATGACAGGAAGCGAGTAGAAGTGGTAGAATTTCACAGCAGAAATAAAAAAAGAAAACAGAAGCTGGGTCAAGAAGAGAACCCCAAGGTAATTGCTTTTTATGTATGTGGTGATAGCTACACTTACGATTATGACAGCAAAAGGATACAGTGTAAAGTGGACAAAGACTTTGTAGTATTGAGTCAGGGAGTATGAAACCTTACATGTTTATTCTTTTTTCTGAGGATTGTTTTGACTATTCAAGGTTCCTTTATGGTCATATTTCAGGATTTGCTGGCCCTCTTTCTGGCCCTGGACTAAATTGTACTGAGTGGGTGCTGGTGGACATGCAGCACATGTGCTGGTGCACATGCTGGTGCAACATGACTCCCTGTCATGTTGGTGTACACTGGGTGGAAAGAAGTGTGCAGTGCCAGCAGCAACCCAAGACTCCAAGAGGATTGCTAGCTGCTGGGGGGTGGTCCTTTAGCTAGCCAGCTTTTGTGTGGCTGGGATTATTTAACTGGGGCCTTGCTGCAGGCCTTGCAGGCATAAGTGGACCTTTTGGGCACAGCAGGCCTGGTGGGCATTCAGGCTGGGGGGTGGCGGGGGGCTGTCATTGAACTTTGTCCAGGCATGGGTAATGGGTGTGGGGGGGGGGTATCACCTTTGCTGTGATCCATGTGGGTTGGTGGTCCAGTGCTGACTTAGCTCAGGCACAAATGGGGTGGTGGGGTCTGGTACCACATTGAAGCTAACAATTATTAATATTACCACAGTGTATTGTAGCATATCATGCAAATATTAGTATTTTTTGTGTGTGACATGATGTTAAAAAGGTTGGAACACACTACTTTGCACTATAATTCTGTTTTGCAAATTTGATAACATAAAGTATCTAGGTACCTCCCTGGTTTCCTCAAATGTCTCTAGCTTCAGTTTCCTCTTTCTGGAATGGAACATTTTCTTTTTAATAGAAATGACATAAAAGTTGGCATTGAATAAGTCTACATTTCCCTGTCTCTCAGTAATAGAATGCACACAGCAGGCAGTTGAATTGTAGCTTTTTTTTTCCTATTCCAAATAAGTCCATTTTCCATGTAGTTGGTTCTTCTCAGGAACCAAAGCTCGTTCTACATTTTGGACTTCCTGACCTGAATGCATTGTTTTAATTGTCTTGGTGTTCTACCCTCTCTTCCTTTTAAAATTTATCCTTTGAAAATGTGAATGTGTCTAGCGAAAGAGACAGACTATGGACATAATAAAAACACATATGGCCATGAGAAGATTTTAGAATATGTAAATAAATCCCAATGCATATCGCGCTAGTTATTTTGGCACATCTTGGCCATAGGGAGCACATAAAGACGAGTCAGATGGGATACTTAGGATAAATAATGCTATGCTAAGAGTTTGTGTAACATAGTAAAATACAGCTGTGGCCCCTGCTGAAGTGGACATCTCACACAGTCATGGAATCAGCAATATCATAAAATAATGATGGCCTCTGCTCATAATCATGGAATCAGCTTGTCAAATTGAAGAACATGGAGAAATGAAGAGGTGCTGGTGAGCTGGACAAAATCCAGCTGACCTGCCTCCATCCAGGAGATGACCTGCTTTACCCAGAGTTTACACTTGTGCTATGGATACTGTTATTAAATTGTGTTGTGTATTGAAATTGGTTTTCATGGATGTGATACGGTGATTCGTAATAGGAAATACATATTTTTTCCTTGTCCTATTTCTGGCAGAAAGGGCTTAAAACCCTTGCAATTTCATAAGAAATGAGAACGGTAAACGTGTCTTTCATCATGCTGATGAAATGACTCTTGGAGATATTAAGGATGTGGGCATGTGGAAGGACCACCTTTGGGATTAGTGGGTTGGAACTTTTAGCACCTCCCTGCTTCCAGGGGTTGGAGGTTGAACCACTTGCTGTATTCCAGTGATTTAATCCATCCTATATAATGAAGCCTTTGAAAAGACAGGTTCAGCGGGCTTCTAGGTGGGTGAACACTTGTTGGTGCTCTGTGAGGGCATAGAGGGGTCATGCCCTTTCCCCATGTCTTACTCTGTGTACCTCTTCCAACCTGACTATTCCTTAGTTATATACTTTTATAATAATCTGGATCTTTTTAAATAAATGGGTTTCCTGAGTTACATGAGCAACTCTGGCAAATTACTTGAACTAAAGGTGGGGTAGTGGAAACCTCTGATATATAACCAGTTGGTCAGAAGTACAGATAGCAACCTGGGCTTGTGATTGGCATCTGACAAGGAGGGCTGTCTTGTAGGACTGAACCCTTGATCTGTGGGATATGATGCTACCTCTGGATAGTGTCAGAATTGACACAAGTGTTCAGCTGGTGTTGGAGCATTGCTTGTTGGATGGCGACTGACTCCCTCCTACTCCCTAGCCCTATTGGTATTGGTGATCTTTAATGGGCTATGGAAAGTTAGCGACCATTTATGTAACAATCCAATTATCTGACCTAGAAGTTTCCCATTTATAAAGCAGTGACTATAGAAATAGTTTGACAGGAAATAGTAGAAAAGAGATCATTTATTAATTCATTCACATATTCCACAAGTAATTGGTTACCTACTATTTTCCAGAAGATCCAGCAGTGGACAGGATCTAATGATTGACCCTCGTGGGGTGGACTGTCTACTGGTGAAGTTGAGCAAACCCCAAGTGAGTTAATAGTGTTATTAAAGGGAGTAATAAACTCTCTGAAGGAAAGAGATAAGGTTGTGATAGTAATAGCCAGAGTATCCTTTGAGGAAGGTGATGAGGTGACAACAGGTGACACCAGGTCTGTTAAAGGGAGCAGGGAAGAGTAATCCAGGTAATCCTTGCAAGTGACCTGAAGTGTGAAAAGGCCTGATATTGTTCAAGAAGCTTGAAGCTTTGTGGGAATAGAACAGAGGGGCAAATGGTGTGAACTGTAGAAGAGACAGGCTGTGGCCAGCCCTTGCCTGGTCTTGTAGGCGGTAGTGAGGCCTTTGGATTTCAGTTTATAATATGTGAGGAACCACCAAAAAGTTTAAGTAAGGGCATAACATGATGTGATTTTGTATTTCAAAAAGATCACTTAGGCCTTGTATAGTAAATAGGTTGATTATGGGTAATAATAAGAGACATGAGGGCTTCCCTGTTGGCCTAGGGTTTAAGTCTCTGCACTGTCACCGCTTTGGCCTGAGTTCTATCCCTGGCCAGGGAGCTAATCCACATATGGCACAGCAGACATCTCCTGTCTTGCCCGCTGTTCCTCTTAGCAGTGTATTTCAGTAAAATTTGCCTGTTCTGCTCCCCACTCTGTCTCTAGTGATTCCTCTCATACCATGCACCTCTGACCTACACTCCAGTGCATCTACGCAAAAATAAAAATAAAAATAAATTAGTAAAAGACATGAGGAGACTGAATTAGGAATTTATTAGAGTGGCGTTCCAAATGGAATTGCCTGGACTTATAATTTGAGGAATTAATAGATAAACCCACTCTTTAATGAGTACCAGACTGCCTATGAGGAAGAAAATGCCTGTGTTCTTAAAAGAGTTGGTCATGTGTGATTTAAAATGATGACAGTATTATCAGTACAATTTGTCCACCCTTTGGCATTGATCCATTTTTACACACATTTGCTGCCCCTGTTTCATGAACATTAGCCTACATTAAAAAGTGATAGACATAGTAGAAATAATCGGACGATGTGTTGTAGTTCAGAAGGAACTTTTCAATCCTGTGGTCTGGACTGAGGTGCTCAGGCTGCTTCTGAGCATGTATTGAATTGCTAACAGTATGACTATTTATGGGGCACTTATTATATACTTAAAATGATTATTTATACTCATTAACTATTACTCATCATCTCACTGCAATCTCACAATTCATGGGATCTGTCTGCATTTTACAAAGGAGTGTGATCCTTAGAGAAGTTAAATTACTTGCTGCATTTAAACCTTAATTCCACAGTCCCATATCTGCAATTCCAAAACCCCAGAACTTGGAAATCACCAATTGGATGTTTGGGTTTTTTAGTTTTTTTTTTAAGTTCGACAGTTTTGTTTTGCAGCAAAATCAGATCTGAACTGATACTGTTATGGCAGAATTCCTTCAGGGAACCAGGCAGCACTTAGAGAGGAGAAGGGAAGATCTTTATTAATGCTGGCAGGCCCAGAGGAGATCTTTCTCCGAAGTCTGAGCCCTGAGCAATTAGCTAACAGAGTATTTATTGCCTATGCAGGGTACATTTACACTTTGAAGTAAGCAGGAAATTCCTAAGCAGTTATCTGGTGTAAGTTAGGTGTGTGGCCTTGAGAACGTTTATCAGTTACTCCCCGAAACTTTCTGTCTACATTGAGGCTTTGTTTCAACATAACTTCAAACATTTTTCACTTCAATATGAGGTTAAAAATTAATTTTGTTTGGGCCTCCCTGGTGGTGCAAGGGGTTAAGCACAGCACTGTGAAGCTATCCACAGACTCTGCAGCATAGGTTCCATCCCCGGCTGGCCAGGGAACAACCCACATGGCGCAGCAGGCCTCTCCTGACTCGCCCGCTGCTCCCCTCAGCAGTGTATTTCAGTAGATCTATCTGCCTGTTCTGCTTCCCACTCTGTCTCTGGTGAATCCTCTTGCCTTCCGTACCTCTGGCCTATACCCCAGTTCTTGTATGTATAAATAAATAAATCTTCAAAAAAAAGAAATATAAAAATACACTTTAAAATATTAATTTTGTTTGTTCCATTTGTCCTGATTGTGCATATTTTCATGGCTATGGAAATATGAATGTGCTTAATGATGGGTTACTAGATGGACTGCACTGGAAGCGGTATGTAATATTAAGTATATTCACAGCTTCTAGGTCAGTGTACTCGAGTTACTTAGAAAATTCAGATTTTTTTAAATATTTCTAAGGATTCCAGGTAAAGGACTATAGATGTGAAGTAAGCGGCAGAGTTTAGGTTCATACCCAGTCTTTCTGGCTTAAAAACCATGTGCCCAACTACAGCACTAGTGAAAGAATACAGGTTAGGTTAGGCTCTTTGTCCTTTCAGTAACTCTAGTGCACTGACCTAGAACCTTTACTAGACATAAAGACATTTTCCCAAGCTACTGCCCTTGGTTCCTACTGCTATTAAAATCTCTGTAATATCTAGATCACACCACAGGGGCTCTACCTGGAAATCCTCCATGTTCCCACATCTCTCAGCTTCGTACCATACCCCCTGTTCTTAAGTAGATTCGGTGTGAGGTATTAGGAAGACACTAATCTAGCTGAAATCATGTACCCTCAATAAGAGTTGCCTGTATTTTAAAGAAAGGGTGTTTATTCACTGACTCTAATTGGACAGTGTAACTAATAGAATAAAAATCTAATCACTGCAGAAGAGGCTACTTTGGGTCAGCATGTCTGTCCATAGACTAGATCACTTGTGTCCAGTGAACTGACTGCTCATCTCCTGTGCCTCCTACCACATTTCCCCCAAACTGTTCCTTCTTTTTATAGTGTTTTTCTTTTTTCAATGTCAAGCATACAAGTCCTGAAAATTTCCAAACATTTCTTTCTTGCCCACGTGGAACGGTAAGATTGTATTAGTCAGGATAGGTCAAACAATGGTTACATCTCACTGGTTTAAAGGCAAAAGTTAATTTTTTTTTTTTTTTGTATTCCATGTCCCTCCAAATTGACAGGGACAGAGTCCCCTGTTTATCCCATCCTTACTTAGCAACCCAGGATAATAGGGGCTCCACCAACACTAGTTGCTTAAGTGAAGAAGGGGAGTTGATTAAGACTCTTAAAAGCTCCATTTTGAAGAGGCATACGTCCCCTCTGCCAAAGAAGGTCATGTAGCCCTGCCTAATTTCAGGTAGGCAGTGAAGCCCCATTCTCCTGTGTGAGTAGAAGTAAAGATGATCTAATATGGCCTTTAAGAGTAGTGCCTCCTGCTACAGTGCGTGAGGGGAAAGAAGTCAGGAAATTGCCAATGATTTCTAAGTCCAGGAACACATTGTGAATAGTGCACTGAAGGGGGTTAAAGCTATGAAATAAAAATTTATATTAGAGAGTGGTAGGGTCTTGCTAATAGTTTCAGGATCAGAAGATAATGAGCCAAAGGTTTTTCTCTCCAAATGTTTGCTTTTGTTACAGACCAGAAGGATCTGGAACCCATTCATTTTCTCCAAAACACATCAATAGTTACTCACAAACTCATCAGCAGCTATAATAGCTGCCACCCAAGAACCCTGCCCTACCCTTGATGCGCACAGCCCCTCAGCTCAGATGTCCCACAGTAAGGATAAATCGAGGCCTCTGGTGCAAGGACTAGGTATTCCTTGGGGCCTGTGTTGGGGAAAGCAGGGATATTAGGGGCTGTGCCCCCCTCTTCTGCGGGCTGGTTTCTCTCTAGGACCCAGGGATTTTAGCCTCACAGTTGGCCAAGAATTTAATTACAGTGCTTAGATCCTTTTTATTTTTTTTTAAATTTTATTTTTATATTCCCCATACAATTGCAACCTCCTTATTTTGACCCCAATCTCCCCTTTCCCCGCCGCCCCCCACCCCCATAGTGTGTCTCTGGTTCATAGTTGTTTGTTGATTTTGATTTTTTCTTTCTTACTGTTACTCTTTTTCCTGGTCCCTTATTTAGGTTTTCTAGATTCCTGCTATGAGTGAGACCATCTGGTATTTTTCTTTTTCTTTCTGGCTTATTTCACTGAGCATGATCTCTTCCAGCTCCAACCACTATGGAAAGCTGTGTGGAGATTCCTCAACCTACTAAAGATAGAGCTTCCATATGATCCAGCAGTTCCACTCCTAGTTACCCAAAGGACACAGAAACATTAATTCCAAAGGGCACCTGCACCCCTGTGTTTATAGCAGCACTATTTAAAATAGCTAAGCTTTGGAAACAACCCAAATGCCCAAAAATAGATGACTGGATCAAGAAGATGTGGTACATATATACCATGGAATATTACTCAGCATTCAAAAAAGATAAGCACATGCAATTTGCAGCAACATGGTTAGATCCTCTTTAAATCACTCCTTGTGCTGATCGTCTAGTAACAGGTCAGTGGAGGGCATCTGTGACCTCACCAGATAGAAATCTGGTTTTCCTAGAAAAAATTTTCTAGTCATGGCAAAGGAAGTAAGACTTTTCCAGGGTAGATAAATGGCTAGTGCCCTCATTGTGTCCCCTGTGCTATACCATCACATTAATTAAGGCATTTGAATGTGAAATATGATTTGTCTGAAGAAAATAGTAAGCATTGTAAGAGTTAGGAATCTTGATAAAGTAATATGGAAAATGCATTTATTGTGACTAGCAGCAGAGTCAGGGCATATGTGTAGAGCTTGACACCCCACCCTCTGTTACCATAAGCACGTGGTCCATCCGTTAGTGTCCCACAGTGTCCCATCTGTGAGCACATGAGCAGTGAGAGCTTGTTGATTCTTAGTCACTGAATCGGTCATGTCTTTCTGTTTACTGGACCTGTGCTGCCTGCACATAGTGTCTTATCCTATTTCCTCCTAATAACCCCTGTGGGGTTAATACAGGCCCCTTGTGGAAACAGAAGCCCTCATTGGTGAAAACATTCAGTGACTGACCCACATGACCCAAGTATAGTGGTGGGGGAAGAAACAGGATAAGATAAAGTTTAACTCCCATTTGGAGAAGGGAAAAGTAGGAGATAAGAGACTGCAGGGAGCATGGAACTTCCCTGGGCTTAACCCATCATGAGCCCCACCCTGCTGAGCAGGACTCTCCACCCTGGTAGCAGCTTCTTGGCTGCTTAGGGTTCACCAACTTCCTTCACCATGGTCTTGCAAGGCATACAGTGCCTTTTCTAGAAATGGCACTGCCTTTACAGTTTTTTGTTGGTCCAGTTTTGGGGGTGAGGGTTGAGGAGTGACCACTCTTGGCCAGATTTGACAATCCACTTTCCTTAAGATCTCTAGCTTTTGATCAGTGCTTGGGGTTGGTAACCACAGGCAGGGGATATAATGACGTAGAGTCATATATTTTGAAAGCATTTGTTTCATTTCCTATTGGGAATTATAAACTGCCACATTACCACCATTTCTAGAAACGTGATCTTCCTGAAGAAGTACTCAACTACAGTCAATTTTATTAACCATTTTTCAAATTGTTGGATGGGTTAGAAAAGCAGGAAATAATTATTTTAAATACATTTTCTACACTGTAAAATTCCTGCTCAAACAGCTATCTTTTCTAAACCCCCTTCAAAACAGAATTTTCTCTGTATGTGGCACTTGAGATACAGACATAGGTCCACTGATCTCTCTGTCTGGCTATCTTTTTTTTTTCCTAACTTTTCACAAATCTTTTCTTTGAGACCTTAGAATTTTTCTGTTTTTCTTTCATTAACTATGAATTAGGCATTTGAGCAACATGCTTGTGTTGTTGTTTAGTATTCAGGCTTCTGGGCCAGTTTTGAGGCATTTTAAAACATGTCTACTTTGTGATTGAAAGTTGCTATAATGATACAGTAACAGATGATCTTAGTAAGGATTTTTTTTTCTTTTCAGACCAAAACTAATGTCCTCCAGAAAGATGAGAATATACAAGAGTTTAACTTAGAAAAGGTATGTATTTTGAAATTGTTGATTTTTCAGCTTCGTAATAACAAAAACAACAACATATATTTACATATCCATGGTTAGGGAAATGATTAAACAAATCACACCACATTTACTTGTTTGAATATCATGCAGTCATTTAAAACAGTGGTTTTGTGACTGCAATGCTGATGACAGTGGTAAGAGAAGGAGAGATACATGTATTTTGTGATTGCAAATGGGTTTTAAAATGCATGAGGAAAAAAAACCAGTAATCGAGCTTCTAAGAGGATGTATCCTTGACTTTTTCTCTTCTACAATTTCTTTTTAAAGAAAAAACAGTATCTGTGTTTGAAACTGCTGTGATTGTTTCTAAGTGTGAATAGCTCTGAAGGCTGAAATGAGGTACGGTCAAGTAGAACTTACTGCCTTTTAGGTAACAGCTTGTTTTTGAGAACATCCTAAAGTACTGCAGAATTCGGTATTTAATCCTCATTCTGTCACTAATTTGTGCAAATAGAACTCTTTACTTCAACTGTTCAAATTAAACCCGGGAGAACAATGTGGGTAAATTATGGTAACATTGTGGTAAGAGACCTCCGCAAAGCTCCTTAAAGCACTAGATAACAGAATTCTTGCTAGTTGTGTCTACACTGCAGGTTGTGAGAAGACATAGAAGTATAATATCTGACTTATATCATTTGGTGTCTGAGTGCCTGGCTACTAGGGATGTATTTCTCTTGTGGATGTTTGGGAATGCTCTTGGGTCTGATTCTGCTCTGTGTTTACAGGCTCGCTTGGAAGTGCACCGTTTTGGGATCATGGGTTATGGAAAAGGAAAGGAAAGAGTCCTGGAACGGGAGCGTGCCATTATGCTGGGTGCGAAGGTGAGGGGCTGCTCCTCTCTTCCATCACCAAATAGGGCCCAGAAATGGGGAGAGCCCGTGGCAAGTCAGGGTAGGGGTCATTGGGAAATTTTACAAAAGAAAAAAAATTATGGTATGTCTCCTTTTTCTTTCATTTCAGCCTCCCAAAAATAGTTATGTGAATTACAAGGTTTTACAGGAGCAAATTAAAGAAAAAAAGGCAGCAAAGAACGAGGAAAAGAAAATGGTAAGTGTAATAGTCTTTTCTTTATTAAACTAAAACAGAAAGATGGTTGCAGTTTGCCACAATGGAATGAATGTTGCCCTGCTACTGGGGAAGCAGTTTAAGTGACAACAGGATCAAGAGTTAAATGATCCAATCCTTTCCACTTCTTCAAGTCAGCTGCATCTAGTAAGGTTTACTTTGAAAGTCCTGTTTGGATCATGTAAGCTGCTTTGACCTTTTTTCTGCACCCAGTCATTTTTCTGCATTTTGTGTTGTATAGAACACAAAGTCCTATGCAAAATCACTAGGGGAATAGCTGTTATACCTTCCTTTCACCCAGAATGGAAGATTTGACTTTTCTCTCTGCTATGGACTTTCACATTCTTAAAAGAATTTTTGGATGAAACTTGGAGTTATTGTTAATATGCCTTCTTGAGAAAAATGTAAAACATAAATAGCATCTCTGTGGCTTCTGGTCACAAGCCTTTTGTTGTGTGAGTCTCCATCCTCAGTTACTGACACATATATATCTTAAATTCTGAAACCAGGCCCAGGACACAGATTTTTTCAAGAAAAAGAAGAGGAAAGGGCAGGAAGACAGGTGAGTGATAACCATCAGATATTGGGGTAGAATGATCTGGGTAAACTTGTTAATTAGTGCTGAAAATAATACCTTGATTGATAACATGATCTCGCCTATAGGGGCTTCACTGTTTCTCTTATTTCCTAATCAAGTCCTTTATGGGAAGACACAATTTAGTAAATTGTCCAAGATTGAACTGAATTAGGAACCTTCTCCAGTCTCCCATTTTCAAAGACCAGACACCTCCAGTGACACATGGAAAAGCTGAGATGGGCATTTCCCACAAAAGACTTCTGCTTGCTCATAAGAGAGCCTACTGATAGGAGAGCACAGCCTGGGCCTGCCAACTGCCAAATGAGGCATAACATTTGATTTAAGTAATGGGGCATTGATTTTGTTGCTTCATACTTGTTGCTTAGCTTTTGTTCTGCTCAAATTACTGTTTCAAAATTGACTCCTTTTGTGTTAACCTTTTTTTTTTTTTTTTTTTTTTTTTTTGCATTTTTTTTTTTTTAATAAATTTTATTGTTATATTCCCCATACAATTGCAGCCCCCCCATTCTGACCCCAATCCCTCCCCTCCCACCCCCGCCCCCCTAAAAGTGTCTCTGGTTCATAGTTTTTTGTTGATTTTGATTTTCACTTTCTTATAGTTATTCATTTTCCTGGTCCCTTATTTAAGTTTTCTAGATTCCTGCTATGAGTGAGACCATCCGGTATTTTTCTTTTTCTTTTTGGCTTATTTCGCTGAGCATGATCCCTTCCAGCGCCATCCATGTTGCTGCAAATTGCATGTGTTTATCTTTTTTGAATGCTGAGTAATATTCCATGGTATATATGTACCACATCTTCTTGATCCAGTCATCTATTTTTGGGCATTTGGGTTGTTTCCAAAGCTTAGCTATTGTAAACAGTGCTGCTATAAACATAGGGGTGCAGGTGTTCTTTGGAATTGATGTTTCTGTGTCCTTTGGGTAAATACCTAGGAGTGGAATTGCTGGATCATATGGAAGCTCTATGTTTAGTAGGTCCAGAAATCTCCATACAGCTTTCCACAGTGGTTGGACCAGTTTGCACTCCCACCAACAGTGCAGAAGAGTTCCTTTTTCTCCACACCCTCGCCAACATTTGTTGTTGCTAGTTTTTTTAATATGTGCCATTCTCACTGGTGTAAGATGGTATCTCATGGTAGTTTTGATTTGCATTTCCCTGATGACAAGTGATGTTGAACATTTTTTCATATGCCTGTTGGCCATTTGCATTTCCTCTTCAGAGAAGTTTCTTTTAAGCTCTTCTGCCCATTTTTTGACTGGATTATTTTCTTTGTTGTTGTTGAGTCTCATCAGCTCTTTGCAGATTTTTGTGATCAGTCCTTTATCATTAGTGTTGGGTGCAAAAATGTTCTCCCAGTTGGTGGGGTTTCTCTTTGTTTTTGTTATTGTCTCTTTTGCTGTGCAAAAGCTCTTTAATTTGATGTAGTCCCAGCTGTTTATCTTTGCCTTCACTATCACTGCTTTGGGTGATGTGTCTGTAAAGATGTCTTTGATGTGCAAATCACGTAGTGTTTCGCCTATATTTCCTTCTATATATTTTATGGTTTCAGGTCTTATGTCTAGTTCTTTAATCCATTTTGAGTTGATTTTTGTGTATGGTGTGAGGTGGTGGTCAAGCTTCATTCTTTTGCATGTAGCGACCCAGTTTTCCCAGCACCATTTATTGAACAAACTTTCTTTGCTCCAATGCATATTCTTTGCTCCTTTGTCAAAGATTAGTTGACCATAAATCTGTGGGTTTATTTCTGGATTTTCTATTCGATTCCATTGGTCTGTATGTCTGTTCTTGTTCCAATACCATGCAGTTTTGATGATTATGGCTTTGTAGTATAGTTTGAAGTCTGGGAGTCTGATGCCTCCATTCCCTTCTTTTTTTTTCAGGAGAGCTTTGGCTATTCGGGGTTTTTGGTGATTCCATATGAATTTCATCAATAATTGTTCTATTTCTTTGAAGAATGACATTGAAATTTTGATTGGAATAGCATTGAATCTGTATATTGCTTTTGGTAGGATGGCCATTTTAATAATGTTTATTCTTCCAATCCATGAGCAGGGGATGTCTCTCCATTTCTTTGTGTCTTCTTCTATTTCTTTTAACAGTGTTTTATAGTTTTCTTTGTATAGGTCCTTTACCTCTTTTGTTAGATTTATTCCCAAATATTTGATTTTTTTTTGTTTCAATAACAAAAGGGATGGTCTTTTTGATTTCTTCTTCTTCAGATTTATTGTTTGTGTATAGGAAGGCTACTGACTTTTGCGTGTTGATTTTGTATCCTGCCACTTTACTGAACTGATTGATGAGTTGAATTAGCTTTTCTGTGGAGTTTTTGGGGTTCTCTATGTATAATATCATATCGTCTGCAAATAGTGATAGTTTGACTTCTTCTTTTCCTATTTGGATTCCTTGGATGTCTTTCTCTTGTCTTATTGCCCTGGCTAGGACTTCCAGTATTATATTGAAAAGCAATGGTGAGAGTGGACATCCTTGTCTTGTTCCAGATCTTAATGGAATTGCTTTCAGCTTTTCACCATTGAGAATGATACTGGCTGTTGGCTTGTCATAGATGGCCTTTATGATGTTGAGGTATGTTCCTTGTATCCCCAGAATTTCAAGGGCTTTTATCATGAATGGGTGTTGCACTTTGTCGAAAGCTTTCTCAGCATCTATTGATATTATCATATGGTTTTTATATTTCTTTTTGTTGATGTGTTGGATAACGTTGATTGATTTTCGGATGTTAAACCATCCTTGTGCCCCTGGAATGAATCCAACTTGGTCGTGGTGAATTATCTTATGGATACATTGTTGGATTCTGATAGCTAAAATTTTATTGAGGATTTTTGCATCAGTGTTCATTAGGGAGATTGGCCTGTAGTTTTCCTTTTTTGTGTTGTCCTTGTTCGGTTTTGGTATTAGTGTAATGTTGGCTTCATAAAACGTGTTTGGTATTGTCCCTTCCTTCTCAATTTTTTGGAAGAGTTTGTGAAGGATAGGCACTAATTCGTCTCTGAATGTTTGGTAGAATTCATTTGTAAATCCATCAGGTCCTGGGCTTTTGTTTTTGGGGAGGTTTTTGATTACCATTTCAATTTCGCTAATTGTAATTGGTCTGTTTAGGTGTTCTATTTCTTCTTTATCTAGCTTTGGGTGATTGTAGAGTTGTAGGAATTTGTCCATCTCCTCTAGATTGTTAAACTTGTTTCCATATAACTGTTCATAGTAGTTACTGATTATTCTTTTGATTTCTGCTGTGTCCGTTGTGATTTCTCCTCTTTCATTGATGATCCTGTTTATTTGTGCTTTCTCCCTTTTTTCCTTTGTGAGCCTGGCTAGGGGTTTGTCTATTTTATTGATTTTTTCAAAAAACCAGCTCTTGGTTTCATTGATCTTTTGGATTGTTTTTTTAGTTTCAATTTCATTTATTTCTGCTTTGGTTTTTATTATTTCTTTTCTTCTACTGGTTTTGGGGTTTTTTTGTTGTTCTTTTTCTAGATCTTTGAGCTTCGAGATGAGGTTGTTTCTTTGCGTTCTTTCTTGTTTCTTGATGTGAGCTTCTATTGCTATATATTTTCCTCTTATTACTGCTTTTGCTGCATCCCATACATTTAGGATATTAGTGTCCTCCTTGTCGTTCAGTTCAAAAAATTTTTTAATTTCTTCTTTGATCTCCTCATTAGTCCAATGGTCTTCCAGTAGTGTGGTTTTTAATCTCCATGAGGTAGGAAAGTTCCTTGCCTTCTTTTTATGGTTTATTTCTAGTTTGATGCCTTCATGGTCAGAAAAGATGGTTGATATGATTTCAATCTTGGTGTATCTGTTGATGTTTGTCTTGTGCCCCAGTATGTGATCGATCCTGTGTTAACCTTTTCTTGGATTCCTAGTGAACTTGTACATGCCAGCAGGTGGTTGTTCTGGCCTTGTATGTCTGTCTATTAACAGCCCATATGTGACAGGCACACAGATGTCTTAGGTGTTGGGAACCTGGCCATGATCACACTGAGGGTATCCCTGCCCTTGACGAGACAACATAGTAGTAAGGGAAGCACACCAAATTAGATAGATAAGGGGTTGTTAGATACTGATGGCTATGTGACAAGGTTGACATAGAGTGTCATGAAAGACAATCTCAGGACTGAGCTGGGATGTCACTTTAAGGGGTGACATCTGGGTTGAGAACTGGATGAAGAGGAGGGTACATCCAAAAAAGATCTGACAGCAGAACACTTCACATAGATGAAACCAGTGCAGAAGCTCTGGGGCAAGGAGGCCGTCAGCATGTCTCAGGGACCACAGGAAGACCAGAGGCACTCCAGCTGGGCAGGGCACCATGCATGGTGCTGTCATTCTTCTTTGTAAGCTTGACAGTGATACTGTTCTTGCTTTTCAAATGCAGGAAATCCAAAAAGAAGAAATCAGCTCCCAGTATTTTGTCGAGTGGACGGATCGGACAGGTTGGAAAATTCAAAAATGGGACATTGATTCTGAGCCAAGTTGATATCAGGAAAATAAATTCTTCCAGAGTGGCTAAATGAAGTACTTTATATAAAAGCAAAGAACGGGAAAGTGCCATTGTACTGAAGCTGGACCCCTACAGAGGCTTCCAGATTAATCTTTTTTTTCATATTTCATTGATTGTTTTTTTATTTTAGAAAAAATCCAATGGGAAAGAAATTTCTAGTTACTGAATTTTTTTATGGTGATAACTGCTGCATTGTGAATATAAAGTAAACCTATTGAAAAGAATGTTTACTGTTTTCATAAAGGTTCATTCTAGTGACATTTTCACTGGTGTTTTGTTTATTTGCTTGTAATAAGATTTTCCATCATTTTATTGATTAGTAAGTGCTCAGAGTAACCTTTAAATTCTTTTAATTTTATAAAAAATAATGTTGCTATATCATGAAAGAACAGGGAATGTGATATTTCATCAGCTATCTTAGGGGACTAACAGTTTTATTGTCAGCCTACCCAGTGTATAAAATCTACTTTGTAAGAAGTTCTGTAAATAAAGTACAACTTTTATGGTGCTAATGGTCTCGACTCTTAAATAACATGATGTGAATTTAATTCATCTTAGTACCTACATTGAAGTGAATATTCTCCCCATCAAATTAACCATCATGGACCTTTCTGCTGGCCAGTCTCCCTCAGAGGAGGCCTGTAGCAGCAGCTGTGGTACCCAGGCAGAATGGCATGATCCTAAAACCCTGTTTCCACAAGCGCTGGCAGTGGTTCAACCAGCTGGAAAGGAAGAAACGCTGAGGCAAGGCCCTGCAAGCTAAGGTACCCCGCATCGGCTGGCATCTGGCAAATAGCCCTATCCTGCCTGGCATCGTACCAAGGTGCATGCCAGCAGGGGCTTTAGCCTGGAAGAATTAAGGGGCCAGCATTCACAAGGACGTGACCCAGACTATTTGGATCTCGGTGGATTCCAGGAGGTGCAACTAGTCCCCTACATCAGTGAAGGCCCAGGTGCATCCTCTTCCCCACAAAGCCTGCAGCCCCAAGAAGGGAGAAAGCACCATACAAAATGTCTACAAGGAGAAAGCCAGGCTCACCGTGGAGAAGGAGAACTTGAGGGCCTGCATTGCATGGTCTGCACCAGCACAGGGCGTTTCAGTATCTGGGTAAAAGGCCCAAGGAAGATGCAGAGCAGAATGTTGAAAAGAAAATAAAGTGCCATTTGGCAACTTTTGACCAAAAAAGCCATCACCTTGAGCAGTGCTACATAAATTTTTTATTGCTGTTGTCCTTCCTGAAAGTGGCTGGAACTTCTCAAATCTTGTGTCACCTTAAAAAAAAGTCTTCAGTTTTGGCTTTTATTGCCAAAAAGTTGATACTCAGATACCTAGATCCCCAAACTAGGGGGGGGGAAATCTCAGGCGCTAGAAATGATTATTAGAGTGGATGCAGGATAAGATTAGTTTAACTCCCTTTCTTTTTCAACAGAACTGGGTGATGAAGGTGACTTCCACCTTCCAGGAGCCATTGTCAGCCCTTGGGCATTTGGGGACATATTAGGTGACCAGAGTCCCAGTCTAGTCTAAACTCTGGAAAAGGATGCAAATTCAAGTGTAAACTATTCACAATGTTTTGCTTTCAGCATGGAAACAGAAGTAAGCAAACAGGAATGGCCCAAGAGGAGTGTCAAGCTGTGATACAGATCCAGAGGAGGCTGTGGCCATTTCAACTTGGGTTTGACAGCATTGCAATGAGAGAACTGGGCATTAATACCCTCACATCAGTCGTGGGCCATCCTGGGATGTGTGTGAGGCAGCTCTGCAGAGGACTAACATCTGCAGGCTGAGCCCCACCATGCTCATCAGCAGCCATGGGCATATGAAGGGGGATCTGAGTGTGATCACCGCAGTCTACCCTTTGTCACAGAACAGTGTGTCATGTAAGTTTGGAGAAAAGCTTTTTTTTTTTTTTTTTTAAAGATTTTTATTTATTTATACAAGAACCAGGGTACAGGCCAGGTTCGCGGGAGGGTGAGAGGATTCACCAGAGACAGAGCATGGAACAGAACAGGCAGACTGACTGAAATACACTGCTGAGGGAAGCAGCAGGCGAGACAGGAGAGGTCTGCTGCACCACGTGGGACCCTCGCCAGCCGGCCGGGATCGAACCAGCACAGCAGAGGCTGTGGACAGCTTCACAGCGCTGTGCTCAACTGCGTGTGCCACCAGGGGAGGCCCAAGTTTGGAGAAAAGCTTTCCAGAATACCAGTGAGGGAAACTTAGATGGGAAAGATTAGTGGGAAATAATATTCCAGGCCTCTGGCTTGGTTTGGAGCTGCAGCTGACAATCACTGTCTGCCTCCTTTGCTATTCATTCTGGACTCCCCTTGTCCTTACCTAGCACCTCTACTAGTTGTAATCTAGACCCTCATCCCTGGGGTGTTTGAGTCACAAGGTCACCAGGCTGTTTTCCGCCCAGGGGTCCCACACCTGTCTGTTTACCATCAAAACTGCAGAGTATCAGAAGATTCCAGAAAGGATCCATGGGGTGCACAACAAAGTCATTCATTGAAAAAGTTGGGAATCCCTCCCCGCACCACTGGTGACAGCAACCCTATCTTCACTTGATGGTCGGTGTCAATCACCAGGTGGTGGCTTTTCTTGGCCAGGCAACAACCTTGGTTCCAGGAGGCAACATGTCCTGTGCTTCCCCTTTGGGAAGCAGGGTCTCCAGGTGCATAGGGCCAAGACTTGTGGAGGTGGGAATTGCAAGTTCCCTAAGTAGGTCCCTGGGAGTAATGGCAGGCGGTCGTGCCTCGTGGAACAAGGACTGACCATGCTTCTGGGAAGAGTCCCCTGCAGGGGAAATGGTGGGATAGGGACCACTGAGGAACTAAACCTGCCGCACTGCAGCCCAAGTTTCTTCCCCTTGTTCTATGCCAGAACCTTAATCACAACTGTCTTCCTGAGGGTGACTATTTTTCCATTGTCTTTTCTCTTTGCTGCTCAGCTTGCTAGAGGAAACTTTATCAATGGCGATGTAAAAAGTGTGGTCTTAAACTAGAGCTTCACTTACAGTACAGGTTGCTTTCTTTTAGCTCCTAAACCTGAGTGTTTCCAGAGGGCCCAGTGATCACAAAACTGTACTTTAAATAGCTCAGTAAATTAAAAGGAACTCAGTAAATTAAAAGAAAGGGACTCATCAGTCCCCCTTTTCTTTTTTAACAGAGCCGGGAGAGGAAGATGGCCCCACCTCGTCTTCACCTTCCATGAACCATTATGAGCCTTTGGGCATCTAGAGATACATTTGGGGACCAGACACCCAGTGTAGTCAATTCTGAAAGAGCATGTAAATTTGAAGTATAAATTACATTGGTTTTGTTTTCACCTTTTAATTTACTGAGCAATTGAAAGTACAGTTTTGTGATCACTGGGCCCTCTGGAAACACTCAGGTTTAGGAGCTAAAAGAAAGCAACCTGTACTGTAAGTGAAGCTCTAGTTTGAGACCACACTTTTTATATCCCCATTGATACAAAGCTGATGAGATTCAACAAAAACAAAGTAAATAATCCAGTCAAAAAATGGGCAGAAGAACTAAAAAGAAACTTCTCCAAAGAAGAAATGCAAATGGCCAACAGGCATATGAAAAAAATGTTCAACATCACTTGTAATCAGGGAAATGCAAATCAAAACTACAGTGAGATACCATCTTACACCAGTGAGAATGGCACATATTAAAATAACTAGCAACAACACATGTTGGCGAAGATGTGGAGAAAAAGGAACTCTCTTGCACTGCTGATGGGAGTGCAAAATGGTCCAACCACTATGGAGAGCTGTGTGGAGATTCCTCAACCTACTAAAGATAGAGATTCCATATGATCCAGCAATTCCACTCCTAGGTATTTACCCAAAGGACACAGAAACATTAATTCCAAAGGGCACCTGAACCCCTATTTTTATAGCAGCACTATTTACAATAGCTAAGCTTTGGAAACAACCCAAATGCCCACAAATAGATGACTAGCTCAAGAAGTCATATATATGTGGTACATATACACAGTGGAATATTACTCAGTAATCAAAAAAGATAAACACATTCAATTTGTAGCAACATGGATGGAGGTGGAAGGGATCATGCTCAGCGAAGTAAGCCAGAAAGAAAAAGGAAAATATAAGATGATCTCACTCATAACAGGAATTTAGAAAACCTAACCAAGGGGACAGGAAAAAGACTAATTATAATAAAGAAAAAATCAAAATCAACAAGTAACCATAAACTAGAGACACACTTTTGGTGGGGGGGGGACAGAGAGGAAGGATTAGGGTCAAAATAAGGGGGGTGGGTATTGTACGGGGAGTATAACCAAGTTGGGAATGCATGCATTGTATGAAAATGAAAAATGTAAGAATTATATAAAATAAAATATAAAAAAAAAGATATTTAAATTAAAAAAAAAGAAAAAGAAAGGGCGTTAAACTGATTCTATAACTACTCTAATAGTCATTTCTAGCTCCTGAGATTTTTTCTAGTGGGTATCTAACGCCTGTTTGGGAACTTCTACACCTTTTTAAAAAGATTACTCTTAAAAGCTGCCAAAATACATATCCTAACAAATACTGCCTTTCAAAATGAACCTGGAATAGGGCCTCCCTGGTGGCGCAAGGGGTTAAGACACAGCACTATGAAGCAATCTGCAGTCACTGCAGCATGAGTTTGATCCCCAGCCAGGAAGGTGACCCACATGGCGCAACAGACCTTTCCTGTCTCACCCGCTGCTCCCCTCAGTAGTGTATTTCAGTACATCTGCCTGCTCTGCTCCCCACTCTGTCTCTGGTGAATCCTCTCACCCCCCGCACGTCTGGCCTGTACCCCAGTTCTTATATGCGCATAAATAAATAAATCTTTTTTAAAAAAAAACAAACCTGGAATATAAACACTAATTCCGATTTGGCTTCAATTCAAAACATATTTTGAGCTGTTCAATGGGTAATGCCTTTGGAGTTACATTAGAAAGTCAGCCATTTATGTGCATCTGTTTTGATCCAAACTTTATAATTTACTTGGTTAGATCTGAATTTTTTAATAATGAGGAAAAAAGCCAAAATCACCATCACTGAAGACTTAAAAAAAAAAAAATACCACAAACTTTGAGAAGTCCCAGCCACATCCAGCAAGGGCAATAGAGTTAAAAAAAAAATTATGTAGTGCAGCCCAAGGTGATGGCTTTGAAGGACAGAACATTCCTGCCCTATAATCTCAGAGTTTGCATTGTCTGCTACCCAGCTGAGCCCTTGAGCAATCTGGCCAGTATCCAAGGATGAGGCCAAGTCTCAGGGTGGTCGGGGTCATGTGTGATGGTAACTCTTGAGAGCCAAGGGGCTCAGGTCAGACACCCAGGCTCAGTCTCGGTAAAAAGGGCTGGTTAGTCTTCATATACACAGGTTAGTGAGGATACTTTCCCCAAATCTGTTTGCTCTTGTAACCCGTGATCAATGTTCTATTCACGAATTTATCTTTTTTTTAAAGATTTTTTTTTTAAAATTTATTTTTGCATAGAAGAACTGGGGTGT